TATATCGTGCCAAAAGACTTTAGATGCCCACCGTCGACTTTATCGAAACACCCGTAAAGGACAAAGGATTTAAATCCGATCTCTTCATATTACGTCATAAAATCCAAAAGGACCAAGAGCCCTATTTTCTTTTACCTGTCTAGGAATATTTATTTAATAAACACTTTCACTTGTGATATTATCAAATCACAGATATAGCTTTTCTAATTCTATCTACGAAGTTTGCCAAAGTACGGCTAGAAATGTTTACGATGCCTACGCGAGCTACGAGAATAGGGGTTGAAACTACAGCATCTAATAGGTAAGGTATTGAAACTTTTACTTTCGATAATTTCAATTTTAATTCGAACGTTTTCCAATTTGTGGGACGACTACCTACTACTTAGTGCCTAAGACAGGTGGGAAGTTCCATGTGATCAAGTTATGAACATTGTATGAATTAATTTAAAATATTTATAACCATTTGTTACCTTAGATATTTGGTACCTAAGTAATATTCGGTCTAATCACGTACACAAGTTATGCTATAAGCACGTGCGATATCAACAAAATCATAAACATTTAGAGGGGGCGCGATGAGAGGAAGTGCGCCATGCTTCCGGTTTCAGTTTCATTACTGATATTGGTACGTAAGCTGGTTCGATTCAATTTCCTTGGCTGCTTCGGCTCACATTTCGCAGAAGCTGACGTTTATATAACGAGTCCATGCGGGATGCGCCTTCCTCCGTATTACAAGTAGGTGAGGTTATTTACATAAAATTACTCAGAGGCGCTGCTGAACAAATTCGTCTAGGAAAGATATTTATGACCAGCTTATTTTTTTTTTTAGTTTTAAAACAACAATTCATACCCTCAACAATTCATTGCTATTCTTTTCGAATACTCAGTAAAGAGATAAACGTTTGATTTTCCCCTAAAAAATAATAGCGTCAATTGTACTTCAGCGCGCTTTCCTTCCACTTATATAAAACAACATGTAGCCCCCCGCTGGTTCGACATTGCGTTGTTGACGCCCTCAGCAGGACATGAGCTGAATAAAAATGTGGACATTATTTATTCTACCTCTGTTGACTCGTAGGAGAACTGCCATCAAACCTTACAGAGCCAAAATTCGTCGGCAAATAGAAAATATTGACGTAAGCAAAATGTTTTTTCGCCTCTAATAAAAGTCATTTTGGATTTTCTAAAATGTAGCTGCCATTTGCCAGTTATATCACAATCATAATTGAAATCAAATTAGTTACTAATAAGTTACCGTTAAAATGTTGATTTCTCTGTTTCACCGAATGTAGAAGGCAATAAACATATCTCAAATATTTTGGAACAGCTCTTTACCTTTATTAGAAAATTGCCTCCATGTTTCTGAAGGGAATGAGGGTTGACTTGAAAGACTTCGCCGTAATTGCTATTTGCGTGTAAACTCCATTATTATAGGTCGCGTCGCATGTAACAAAGGGCTATTATGTCAGAGCACTTGGCTTCACAGATAAATCTAATACTCGTATCAACTTAACACGGCACCAAACTGCCAAATTGATTTCATATTTTAATAAAGACTTTTTATGAAAAAAGTACGAACCTATTGCGAAATAAAGCAATAATGTAGATTTACACGTAGACCTATATATCAAAATTTTAGATGAAATGTTAATATAAAGGACGAAATAAAAGAACAATCTGTGCTATAACTTATATATTTTCATAAATAAGTGTTTATTAACTTCAAAAAGTAGGAAAATAATTTCACAGATCGCATATAAACGTATCCGCGTGAATATCAGGTGTCAAATATCAATCACGTGCCACCTCCACAACAATAAATAAAACAATAATAACTCGTGTGTTGCAATATTGCATAATATAATGCACGTTAAAAGCAGGCAAAAATACAAACAGGTAAAATGGAAAAGGTGGGTAAATACAATATCTACATAGATAAACTTTAACACTACTCCACTAATTTAAAGTTAAAAGCTAAAAAATAATTTGTTTCGTACTTAAAATAATCATCAGCTTCAGTCTGATCACGTGAATAAAGTTGTATTTTATAATGGCAACTAAACTAAACTAAGCTGTAATAAATAATAGTTTTTTAAGCTATTGGACATTACATAATTGTTACTAGTTACATAAATGGCCAAGATTGTCGTATCAATACGGCGTTATATCAAAAGTTGTGATACGACTCTCTTTGCTTATTTGCATTCTTCAAATGCGCCTAAAATGCACATAAATATATTTTTTTAAATATTTGGGAGCGACCAAAGATAATTAAAACAAATATTTGGTCAATTAGCTCTTCGAAGGTACTGCTTGCATAGATGTCGGCGTTTATTTGTTCAATATTTTAGTTTCGCGCCATCTATCGAGCGCGTTGTATACCAAAAGGACAGCTAGGCATTTCCATTACGTGATATACACCGTTACTCAGGGAAACAAGCATGTCATACTAATCCAGAAATAACAATAATATACAGTTTTTGAATTTTTTCTTCCAGGGTATTAAGTTAAGTCGACTCAGACCGTTTACGGAGACAACTCCTTAAAAGATATATGTCGACTTAACCTCTAGCCCGGTACAGGTTAATACGCGATATATACATTATAACACAGAGTCAACTGCACGTCCACGTTACCACTGGACTTTAAAAGCGTCTTTATTACAAAGCAATAATGATTAATTTTGTATAAGAATGCAGTTGACCATACATAAAGCTCAGCAGGTCAAAAAACAATGCTTATTTGGTACTTATCGATAGACTTAACTTCCAATATCGGTGCCCTATTGTAACAAACCTTACTTCATAATGTTATTGCTATCATGTAGTCTTAAATTGTTCCAATATACTTAATAACCACAAATTATCTTATTTTCTGCTATTCCTTGTGAGTGATATCTTAATTATTTATTTAGGTGCTTTATATAAAATATCTATTTCAACTTTCAAATGTCTGTTACCACTGCACGACATATTTTTTATATGCATAAATAGATATTTTATTTAAATTAGAACTATGGGCAGTAATTCGTACGTTTTTAGTAGCTTTAAAAACAACTATGTTAGTTTGTTTAGTATAATAATAAGTCTTTACCGCTTATTGGAAGAGTTTATATCTAACTCGTTCTATTTTAGTATTGAACTTATCCAGTGTATCTACTCTATTTATTATATGTGTATTATTGCCATTAACGGCGTTTCCAACCGTTCTATGGTACAGTACCTTAAGTTTCCTACTGTGTTTGTTCCTTAAGAATAATCCTTTTATTGTATCCTCTATTTTATGCTTTGGCTAATGAACAACTTTACAAATTAACTTCTAATAATAAAACTTAATAATATAAAAAGCGTTTTTGATATAATAGTCGAATACATAATCAAGTCACGATAGTACAACGTAATGACTTAATTTAAGAATAAATGAGCGTTTTATGGACAAAGATACAATCGAAAATATATTATATTAGTACTAGATATTTTCTCAAAATCCAATTGGCACAGCCCTTGCAAGTATTTTTTTAAAAGCATCAATATTTCATTCATTAGTTCATTGCATGAACTTAATAGTAAAAATCGTTCGCTCAATTAGGGTCACATTTGAAAATCAGAGAACACATATATCCTTCAATGGATATTCGACTTTACATATTTATGATTAAGTCAAAAATCGATTGAAGAAATGTGTGTGTCCCCATAACAGATAGGGCAAACACTAACAGTTCATAAGGCTACAATGAGAACTGATTTCTCGTGCCGCTAATTGAGCAACAGACTTACAAAAGTAATGAGAACCATGCCAACCACATCACTGGCATCAACTAGAAGGCACAATCTTTTAGATTGACTTTCATTAGAAGTCACAGCCATAGCTGTTTAATTTCTATGTTAAAAGATATTTTGACAAGTCATTTTTCTTATGTTACACAACACCCAATGTGAATCAAATAGAAATAATGTGACTAGTATTTACAATACATTAACGAGTTAATTCCATGTACACAAAGGCATTTGTGTATCCAGTCTTCTTCATGTGAATAACAATACAATATTTTCGTACGAATAACACTAAAAGCTTAACATTATTTTATAAAACACAACAAAACATACCTGTCGAGTGACATGGGATAAAAATTTGAATAACAAAAACCTAAAAAAATATCTTGCAAAACTGATCCATTTGCGCTTTGTCTCGACAATACATCACGTAGCGCAAGATGGCGATAACAGGGTAAATAATAAAATAACTTAGTAATATAATATTTAAATAATAATCACCAGTTAAAATCACATTCGATGAAGAATTCCTTTTGTAAGAGTAATTCAAGATCCAACTTCCATTCAAAGCTACAATTCCCCAGGAAGAAAAAGTAATCTAATTAATTGAAACATTAAAATATAATTGAATACCAACTTATTTAATAGAACCACCTTTAAGAAAAGTACTACATTTGTATGTATTAAATATGAACAGAATTAAAACTAGTTCAAGAGGAACCAATTTCTGTATAATAATGTAATTCTAAACTGTGAGAGAAGCCTCACTGTATATTATGTGTAAAAAATAATGCATTAGAACAAATATTACTATTATTTCAGTATAAAAGAACCCCCATATGATTGAATATCAAAACAGTTGAGTGGTGTTTATCAACATAAGTATTATAATCTGATAAATTTATCAGCAAATATGCAAAATAGATTATTTATCTCTTCTAAATTGATTCAATGACTATGTGCTTACTTTTTCTTCGCATGGAGTTGAATAGTATTTGAAAACGAAACATTGCAAAAGAAAATAGGATTTCAAAATACCTCTTTTTACATTGGATATAAGACAGAGCAATAAAAATATTTGCTCAGCAAACTTCAAACATAGTAATTGTGCAAAACTTATGAGTAATTGATGAACTAATTATTCATACAATTCATAGCTCTAAATAATGTTTTAGATAAATTGTAAAACTTACAATAGTAAAGAACATCACTGAAAAACGATATTACTTTTACATTAATGCTTCATCACCTTTCAATCTTTTTCTTGGGCCTCCTGAAATTAATAAGTACAATTTTAGCTTTGTTATATATGACTTATCCTATCTATTGGTAAAATGTACAAGGGTTACATTGAAATTTACCTCATAATCAAGAGTCATCATGCAACCATAACTTTAATTTTCCTTTCTATGGTAGTTCTGCACATAGGACAGCTCTCCATCTCCTTGCTTGCACATGGCTGGCAGCAACACATGTGACCGCATGGTACAAAAACTACTTCACTCTTTGCATCCATACAAATGACACACTCTGCCTCTAGCACTGTGTCCTCGGCTTCACTTATTGTAACCACCCCCGTACATTGCTGCTCCTCAGTAAGTTCTTCAGAAGGAGCACTTGGGGCACTGACAGCTGATGCCTCAAAGTTGTGATTCTGGCTCTTAGCTCCTACATATAAATGTATTGCTCTTATAATAGCATCTCTGTCAGTTGACAATGAGACACCACTTAACTTTAGTTGTTCTTTGGTGATGTTCAATAGGGACTCACCAGAAAACAAAAATTTAACCAGGAATGGTAAACAATGTATTACACCTTCTTGTAAAAGGTAGTTAGCTAGAATGGGGTCCAAACTTTTTCCAATATCCAATAGAGTTCTTGGAGCAGAATCTATTAACTTCTGATAATTCTTCAACCAAAAATCATTCGATTTATTTGCTTCACTATCCATTTCCTTTAAAGTTTCAACAAGTTGTTTTCGCCGTTTATTTTGTTGACCAAAAAGGTCATCTAATAAGTTTACCAATTGTATTCTCTGGTGAAGCAACTCATTATAATTATATGCTATTTGCAATCTCTTCTTTTCTTGTTCGATAACACTGAGCCTTGCCAAATGCGAAGAAATCAATGATATTTCCTGATTCAAGCTCCATGTTTTAGCATCAACCTTCTCTAGCAATGAAGCTACAATCGCCATTTGAACATCCTGATCTTCTAATAGCTGTTCCACTAAAACCGTGCGTGATTGGTCTTTGGCATTTAAGAGCTCTGACAATTTTCCACTTACTTCTAAATCTTGCATTAGCATGCTTTGTTTCACATTATTCAGAGAATCTTCATAATACTTCTTGGAATGTCTCACTGCATAGTCTTCTTCAATGAGCATTTCCATTGCCCTTAATACATCAGCCTTTTTGATATTATCATAGTTTTGCCTAGTAATCTCAAGTAATCTGTCATGCTCAGCCTGCTCGTAAGCAAGTTGTTGCTGAATAATTTCTGGTTTTAAATAATCAGACTGTATAAAGTTCTTAACTAGACATTCAATTTCCTTTTCATCTTCTTGTATTGCTTTTATGAGTTTTTGTCTATCAATTTCTTTTACCATATGAACTTTAGCTATCTCATTATCTAACTCCATCTGTTCTTGTATTATTGTATTTAAGAACTTTTCTCTTTGTTCTTTAGCTGCCTTGTGTAATCTATTCTCTTGTTCAATGATGGCAGCCTCTTGCTCCTCCCATGTTAGAGTATTACGTCTAGCAAATGGATCCAGAACTGTTGTAGGGGTTTGAACTGTTGGCATGTCAACTGAGTCTATGGATATTGGAGGGTTATAATCTATGTTCATTTTATCACACAAAAATTTCATTATAACTGGAGTATCCTGTATGGCAATATCAGATGGAGGGAATAAAAATTGTTCACCATCTATATCTAGTGACATCAGATTAGTAGCTAAACATAATTCTGGACAGAGTTCATACAAATCTTTATTTTCTTTGAGGTTTAATTTCTTTAAATTTTTTAATTTACCTATGGCTGGTGTTAGACTTTGTAGCTTATTTTTGGAGACATCTAATATTTGTAATGATTGCATATACTGTATGTTCTCAGGAAGGGCTTTAATTTGGTTGTCTTGAATGTACAGCTCAGTCAGATTTACCAGATATCTAATATCACTGGGTAGCTGTACAAATCTATTACTGCTAAGATTTATTACCTTAACAAGGTACAAATCTGACAATAGGCCTCCTTCTTCCAGTGACTGCAGACAGTTAGCATGCAGATACAAACGTTCTTTTCGGTACACCTTGCATATCGAAAAAGTACCGGACGGTACTTGACGAAGCTGGCAGTCTGACAGATCAAAATCAGGCTCTGGCGATTCCCTGGCGATGTATAACTTCCTTTCCAGTTTTGCTCGAGCATCATTATCATTATTCTGTCTACCAAACAACGACATTGTCGCTCGGTTGACGCACGACACGGCACAACCCATTAAACAATAAGTATTATTTGTTAACAACCTTCACAATCGTCACCGCCTTTGATTTTTCATTGCAAATGGATTCTTGTTTAATTATAAGCTGAATATCAATATCTTCTAACTTTCATTTCTGTAATAGCAAAATTATGACAACAAAATCAAAATAATAAAATGGTAAATAATCAATCAGCAGTGAACGACCGAACAAGGACAAGAATGAGTAACAAACAAGGTTCTTGTAATAATTTGACAGATGACAGATAGTAGCAGTGACACTTATAGCACTGACCTCTATAATATACGCTGGACTGGCTATCCCTTACAAAATGACAGCTAATTTTTGTGCCGATTCAAAGCGCCCCGGTGAGAGTTCTGAGAACTAATAAAATTGCAAATGGCCGTTGTTTGTTGTTTAAATCCAAAGTGTCACTGTGAAATAATACGTTTTCTAAAGTATTTACTGTGATTGTGATATAAATTAAGTGTTATAATTGTGACATTTATTGTATTATAGCTTCTTTTGTTGGCCCAACATGAAATCGTGCGTATATTGTAAAACACGATATGAAAAGAGCAGTGGCATCACTTTTCACAAGTAAGTGAATCTAAATTATAAATACAATATTTGTACTTAGTAGAAAACGCTTAAATCAGTGTATTCTTTCAATAATAAACGTAAACAGTTCGAGTTTATGCGATTTTACGAATATTTTTATAACCAATAACTTTTGATAGGGATGTTAAAGTTCATATCGATACTTTCGTATGGAGTAGTAAAACCAGTCATGCTATGTTTTATTTTATTCATAACTAAAATATTTTATATTTTTAATATTAATTTGCGTCAAATACTAAAACTACGAAATACAGCTTTTGATGGTTTATTAACAATTCATAAGTATTATTGGCAAAATTGTGGTCTTTTCCACAAAGGCCTGAATAAGAATTGAATTGAACAATAATATTTACCGTCATTGTAAAATAATAATATGCACAATAAAATGATCTCTAATCAGAGTCAATATCAAATAATTAAACATTTATGATTAATAATTTTATTGAGTGATCTACCAAACCTAAATTTCATACCTTCTATAATATTTCTTTTAATTACAGATTCCCTTCTGATTACACTCTAAAACTTTGGTTAAAAAATATGAAGGTTGTCAATTGGACTCCAAAACTGTACAATTATCTATGTTCTAAACACTTCACGGATGACTGTTTCATAAAACATGAGTCACGGACTACATTGAGAAAATGGAGTATCCCCACAATATTTCTTGGCAAGTGTACATTTACATAGTACATAGTTATGTAAATACTTTATCGGTATCTAAGAAATATTGGTGATTTGTCATAAAATAACACATGTTTTACAGAAACCAATTCATCCTTGTTACAAACTGAGATGTCAAAAGAAGCTGATCAACCAACAGGATCCCAATGTGAGAAAGATATTGAAATTAGGTTGGATGAATTTAATTCACCTGCAGTACCTGTACAAGTTGGGTTAAAGGTTCATCAAAAAAAAATGTTGCCATGTGAAACGCTTGCAGGTAAGTTATTTTAGAAAATTGTATAAATACTGAGCATGGCTTGCTGAAGTTTGCAAAAAATAGTGGGCAATTACTAAACATTTTTTAAGAGGGTACTTGCAGTGAACAGAAAATTGTGTGCGCTTAGGGGAGGCCAACTTTGTTTCAAATGATTACATACCTTTGCCAATATTTTGAATCGTATATTCACTATCTAATTATTATCTTTTTTTGAATAATATAAATAATGAAATATATTTCTTGTTACAGTTCCAAGCACAAGTTACAACACAAGCTACTGTAGGACACCAACGGAATCTAGAACTTTAGCGGAAGTCATTTCTTGTGTCAAATTAGATCACCGATACGAAAATACCCCAAAATCTTCCAAAAATAAATTGGATAGGGTCAAAAGAGCCTTGAAAATGTCACAAGCTCGAATTAAAGTATTGTCACAAAATGTGAAACGTATGAAAATTACCGTGTCTAGTTTAAAATCTGTAATTGCTGATTTAAAAAAAAGGAAACTGGTATGTGATGATTGTGTTTATATGTTAAATCAGTACGATGATTTCAAGCCACAACTTTTTAAAAGAATAACCAAAAATGTAAAACGTTCTAAGTATGCTCCAGAATTAAGATCATTTGCCATTACTTTACATTTTTATTCACCAAAGGCATATGCATATGTTCGTAATAAGTTTAATTTGGCTTTGCCTCATCCTCGTGTGATACGCTCATGGTATAGTTCCATTGATGCCAATCCAGGTTTTTCGGTCGAAAGTTTCAATGCTTTACGACTTAAAAGTGAACTAGCAAAACAAAAAGGGGAAAATCTTATATGTGCATTAATAATTGACGAAATGAGCTTAAAAAAAAGTTGCACTCGCAGCCGCGATGGAGTGACTCGTGGCCACGTCGATTTGGGTATAGATTCTGAGAGTAACGATTTACCTGAATGTAAAGATGCGTTGGTATTTATGGTCGTGCCTTTAAATAGTAATTGGAAATTGCCCATAGCCTATTTTTTTATTAATAGTTTGACTTCAGAAACTAAAAGCGCTCTAATTAAACAGGCCTTAATTCGTTTGCATGACGTATCCGTGGAAATATGCTCCTTAACTTTAGATGGACCACCTGAACATTTTTCTGCAGTCGCTAAATTAGGGGCAGAGCTTCAAATAGGAGCTGCAGCAAAACCATATTTCTGCCATCCCATAAATAAAGAACAAAAAGTTCATGTTATTTTTGACCCATGTCATATGTTAAAAAATATAAGAAATTGTTTGGGTGATTTAAAAGTTTTAAAAGATGACAGAGATGATTTGATTAAATGGGTATATGTAGAGAATTTAGCAAAATTACAAGAAACTGAAGGCCTAAGATTAGGAAACAAATTGAAAAACTTGCATATAAATTATAAAAAAATGATAATGAAAGTTTATCTTGCGGCTCAAACTCTTAGTAGTAGTGTAGCAGACGCGATTGAGTTTTGCGATAATATTTTAAATCTTTCAGAGTTTAGTGGTTCCGCAGCTACAGTCAGGTTCATAAGAGCCGTAGATAGAATTTTTGATTTTTTAAATGTACGTAATCCTTGGGGTCGAGGTTTTAAAAGTCCTTTAAGAATAAATAATGAAAACAGGTGGAGGGCAAAAGTTCTTGACGAAATTAGGTATTTGAGTAAAATCAAACTGATCGATAATACATTGGCAATTAAATCCCGCCGGAAGGCCGGTTTTTTAGGTTTTTACAATGCAGTTATTTCCGTTATAAATATATTTGATATTTACGTTAAATCTGGCAGACCTGAATTAAAGTATCTTTTAACGTATAAGATGAGCCAGGATCACTTAGAATTGTTTTTTTGTGCTATTCGTAGCCGTGGAGGTTGGTGCCCAAACCCAACAGCGGCACAATTTGTTAATGCGTACAAACAATTATTAATTCATCATGAAATAAATACTTCCACCGGGAACGTTCAGGGCAATAATATATCAATATTAACGACTTCTAGTGCAAGGCGTGCTAAAATAAATCAATTTAATATTGATGATTTTACCAACGCCGAAAATACGCGTACTACAAAAAAATACCGCCTTGACGACGATAACCCATCCACGTTACAAACTGAGTTAGGTGAATTTCTACATATATTTTGGGCGATACCTGATTCTAATATTAATGAGACTTCAAAACAATGCATTGGCTATATTGCAGGCTTTGTAATTCGATCGATTCGAAAAAAAATTAAATGCGACGACTGTTTAATGGCGTGTGAAACTGTACCACAAGATGCAGTGTCAAATAGGAGAAATGGGGTAGCACTTATTATTCAAAAGCAAAGAGGTGGTTTGACTGTGCCCTCTGTGAGTGTTGTAAACATTTGTTTTATGGTAGAATCATTATTCCGACAAGCACTTAAATATAATAACAATAAGCCACCTATCGAGTCTAATTTTTGTGCAGTACTAACTGCAAAGGCAATAAGAAACCTTTTGACGAAAACCAATGAACTGTTTCCTGATCTAAAAGATCACTTGAGAGACAGTTATGTCTCAGACAATTTTCATAGTCACTTAAATGTTCTTTTAAAAGAAATAATAACCAAATATATTGACATCCGTTTGTACGCAGAAACAAAAAAATACTCTTTATTAGTTACTGGAGAAAAAGTAAGACATTTTTTGACCCGGCAGATAATATGGGCTCGACAATAATTTTAAATAATAAAATATTTGATTTAAAAATGCTTTTTTAATTTCCCTGTCCCCTTCCCACGCAGTAGTTAAGCTGTTAGAAGTTAATTACCGTTATTACAGATCTAATAGAAATTATTGTGTCTTGTACGGTGTACCACATGGCGACATGGGATATACTAGTAACAAGTTAATCCTTTTCCATAAAGAGTGCATAATAAAAATAAATTAAGGCATTACATAATTTACTATTTTATAGAGTTTTATTATTTATTTATCCAACAGTGAACTTTTATCCAATCAAGGATAATTTGTTCTTTCAAAATGAAAGAATGGGTCAACCGGACACATGCTTCCTACTGATTACAGCCCAGAAACTAGTAAATACTACTATTACAGACAAGCTTGTTGGTCTCATAGTAAGTGGCTCAGTCTGCTATGCTGCAAGTCATGGGTTCGATTCCCACTCAGTTGTCTAATACTTATAACAAGCTCTTGGGACTAGATGGTGTTGTATGATAGTTATTTGAGTCTGAACGTATTTTATGTTGCAAATCATATTTTTTATAATAATATAATAATTATAATAGACAACACTAATGTTACACGTTAATAAAATTTACTTAAACCAATTTAATATCAAAAATATCATCGGTAATATTTTTGTAATTGTTGTCGATATCAGAAAAGTTTTTATCGATATCAAACCATTTCTTTCCTTCACTAGTATTAGTTCCATTCCCCCTCACTTCTGCCGTCAGCGCCAAAATGGCGATTTTCAAATAGGCACAAAAAGTTGATAGCAATAGCCAGTCCAGCGTATATATATAGAGGTCAGTGCACTTATAGTCAATTTATGTTTCATCCATTCCAGTAGACGCATCTGTAAAAAATACATTAAAGAAACGGAACGCGCACAACAAAAATAATAAGATATGTTATTTTATTTCAGTTGCGAGAAGCGGTTACTTTTTTTTAGCTTTGTATTGTGTTTGGTATAGTACGATTAGAAATATATGTAATACATTACGCTAGTTATACCTAACTTGACTTTGTACGGTTGACGCGCTGGTAATTTCGGCAACAAGCTGACGAAATTTATCGCAATTTTAAAAATGGCAAGTAAGAATAAGTATATATTTTTTATTTGCTTACATTTAGATGGCTGTTTGTTTAATTTAAACGTAAAAATTACTTTCAATAAATTAATTCCATGTTTTTAATCAGCTCATTCATTTACATTTTGTCATTTTTGTCAAGTGAGGTCTTTTATTTAAACTTTTATTGATGGCTAAGTACCAATAACGTTTTGTTATAGCGATCTCCTTAGCATGAAGAAGTCATATGTATTATGTATATGTAATACATTTAATTAGGTAGGTAGTATAACAAGGTTTTTCAATAAACCAAAGTCTTCGGTGAAACATTTTTATTTTTCACTGACTCGAACATTAGGTACATTTAGGTACTTAATAGCAATAAAACTGTACAAATTAACAACTTATTTTAGGTATCTACTTAAGATATTATTACACCTAATATAGTACTGTTGACATGTAGTGGGTACTTTAATTAGGTATATTACATAGGTAAGTACTCTATCTTTTCTCATGACTGAAATCTTTACTGTACCATTTTTGCGCTTGTTCTGGCACGCGATATATCGAATAATCATGTTTTTCTCTTTTTGCAACTGAAGGACTATTTACACTTTCTTTCTCAATACCAGTATATCCGAGTCCTTCAGAGCTGTCTTTAGAATAATCATGATATTCGTCATTTGGATAATATCTAACATACTTTTGATACCAGTCATCTTCATTGTGTGGCTTTTCATCCTTGAGTACTTTTGGAAAACCTATACTTGAATAAGCTTTCCTGGTTTGATAATTTTCAGGAGATTCAAAATCTGGCGTAGAAGTGTAATCATCTTTATAATTTTTATACCATGGCAATGAATGGTTTTCTTGATCAGGTACAATTTTCACAGCTTCTTTCATCTCGTTTTTATCTTTGTTATATTCATCGCCATCTATTAGTTTTGTCGTTATAGATTTTTCGGAATCAAAATCATACATATTATTTATAAATTTAACAGTGGTATGCATTTCGTCTCTATGTGGCTTGCTTTTTTGGGTTTGCGAGGGAGACACAAGTTTATCGCTCTCTCCCTGATCTTTGATTTGTAAAGAATTATATTGATCGGTGTACCGACTATTCGTTTTATAAATACTTAGATCTGGCGTTTGAGAGGGATACACGTGCAATCTTATGATTTTCGACAGTCGATCAAATGCATCAATTAAATCTGTATCAGTTTGCTCTGGTTCGGATTGACTAGTGTGACCTTCAATTATAGGGACCTCAACGGCCGTTTCAGAATTACTTAAATGCTTGTGATTTTTACTATTTGCAGATTTTATTTCTGCTACATTTTTATGTTCATTCTGCTCCTCGTTTTCAGTCTGTTCTTTTTGTAATTTTATCTCATGGCCATGGTCCAAATGTTTCGGTACATGAACATCTCTTGCAGTCATAGGTTCAGGTGGATTGTAGGAATATGCTATTTCTTTTCCAATACGAAAACCTTCGTTTTCCGACGTCGACATGATTTGCGGCTCTTTACTAAAATAATCAAATACATGAAAACTTGGTACGTCAGGTAACTTATAAGTTTCGGCAGCTGGTAATAGTTTGAAAACCACGGCTTTACCTTGATGATAGCCGAGTCCTTGTCCATCAAATGGTTTGTTCTTGCCTTTCTTCTTTTTAGTTTCTGTCTTCTTCGTAACATTTTCGTCTGCTTGTCCATTATCTGACTCAGCATCACAATACATTTTATTCAGTTTTTGTACATCTTTATCTGATAGTCCTATTCTTTGCCCGATTTGAGCACCAGCCTGAAATGTATTGACAAAATCTTTTAGCCATTTACTTATCTCCAATCAGATTATACTTTCACAATTAATTAAACGTTAGTTTAACGGCTTTAGATATTACAGGAATTTCTACATTTATAAACATTTTAACTACATAAATTACTTTTTAACACGCACACCCTAAGTAGGTAATGGTTTTTAATACATACAACCTACATCATTTTAATTGCCCCTTGACAAATTTATTGCCACGGCATTCCCAATGATTTTAACATACTCCATACAAATGCGAAGCTAAAGCTTTAAGGAAAAACCTCTGTCACCTGTTTTGGAACAATCGTGTCCTGGCCATTGACGGAGAAAGCTCGTCGGCTATAATGCAGGACACTGTCATAGTCGTAACCCACGCCAAAATCTGACACGGAGAACGAGTTGTATTTGCGAAAGTTATGTCTCGCCGCTGGAAACAAATAAAATGTCGTCTCAGAACCGAACACTATTTGGACGATTGATTTCTCAACTACAAAAATGTACAGACTTAAGTTTTAGTTAACATACAAAGAAACTTTCAATAGAAATCGAATTTACTTCACACCGAACGTTTATTGCTTAGACAGGTTGGCTAATTGATATTCGCATTGTGTAGCGTTCGCAACAGGCTGTTGTGCCTACTGGTCGTTAACATCATCTAACTATCGAACAAAAAGTGTAAGTGTTTATAAACAGTATATAAATGGTATGTGGGTGAATGGATTACAATATTCTGTTTCTTACATTGAACTACGTTTGGCCAGATAATATCGACATAATCATCTCTATCTGGACTGCTTTGCATGTGATAAAATCCAAGGGTGTGCAGCAACTCATGAACAACTGTCCCATGTCGGAAGCAACCGCGTCCAACTGGATGCCGACCCGATAAGTTTAACACCTGATAGCCGCCTTGGTAGCCCACTTGAGAAAAACAACCTCTTCGACTACCCTGCAACATAAATATGATTATTTCTCTCTCTGTTAATCATCCCTTTTATTTAGTTTTAAAATTACTCTGAGAGAGAGTGAGAGAGAAAGAGAGAGCGCATAAAAATGGGATACCTAGTAATCCTTTGTTGTTGTTGCATAAGCTTATATTTTGCGATTACTTCTACCTTTATTACCGTTATCTGCTCAAAATCTCAGCTTATAGTTTCATAAATTGAACAATAATTAATACATAGACTGTGTGTGAACAACATAACTACCTGTATGACAACGGCATCACGATCTCCTTTCCTGTAGGGACGGAACTTGACACAAGAGGCCCGAGCAAGATCTTCTATTCCATTTTGAATTGCTTGTACTTGATCGCTAGCTGCAAAAACATTCAAAATCTATTATTGAAACTGCTAGAACTGTTAAGCAATGATTCTATAAAGAATAAAACAAAATGACTTACTGAAATGTTCTACTTGAATATAGACAATGACTTCATTGTTGGGCCATCTCTTAGTTCCATCACTAATTCCGTTTCTAGCGAGGCCCTCCGCTACATCTTCAACTATGAGACGCCGCTGACGCTCGTTTAAGATCAGGTCACCTTCAAACTTACCACTTTCTTCCCAAGCATGATCAGATACAACCTCATCTTCGTCATAGTCCACATCAGGATCAACGCCTTCTGTTAAACGCCATGTTGCGATAAATAAATCAATTAAATTAAACTCCAAAATAGGTTCTATAACTTACGGTATCTTTATACTGTATTATTATTTGTTGTTTTTATATAGTACGGTATCTAGCAAGTGAAATATTTGGTCACTTTCGTTTTCAATTTATATGTGACCTCTTCTTGGCTTTTTTGGCTTTTAAACTACACTTAACTCAATTCTAATAGCTTTCTTTCTAGGTATTTTTATGAAAACAATGTCAGTAACGGTCATTGTGCATACATTTTATTTAGATCCACGAAAAAACTTTGAAAATATTATGCGTTTCGATAAATTTATCGTGCTAGCCAAAATATAGTTCCGAATAGTGTTTTTACTAAAAACGTTCTTATGTTATACTTGATTAATTTCTTCATTATTTTTTTTAAATCTTTGTAATTTTAATACCTAAGTAATATATTCTCTAAGCAGCACTTCAAGTACTTCAGATTTTACAAAAACTAAAAATGAATATACTTTTTTTAAATTACTTACTTTTTAGCGTAGGGCTGAGCTGTGACGTCTTCTTGAGGTACTCCGCAAAATCCTCCAATTCATGATAGGTCATCGCCAAACACTTGACAGCAAAGACAATTAATAGAACCACCGATAACTTTGTATGTCCCATGATAACTATAAAATATTTTTCTGACTTCGTTTAATATTCATAAATGCATTCGATATTGATTTCGCTTTTTAAAAACTCAACTCACTCGGTGTATCCGAAAGAAGTGTGTCATATTAACGGTATTCTAAGTTTTATAAATACATTTTTAATTCTTATTTATGCAAATGAATTTAATCCACTGGTGGTGTACTCCAGTGCCGCGTGATTTTTTGTGTCGGACAAAACCCGCCGGGGTGGGGCGAAGTTTAATATAGCTTCGGATACGACCATTTCACAAGGTGTTAGGCCGCAACTGTGGCGGCGACGGCGAAGCTTGCGTCAGCGCAGGTGCTGGTGACAGCGGCTGCACTCCACGCCACCACCCATAACTCGTGCAACACCGAGTTGCTACATTTACTGGCTCCAGTTATTTTAGCGTTTACGTCCTCCAACAATAACACCAACTTGTCATTTTTGTAATTGAATGGGCGAAATAGTAAAGGGAAAGCAACAGTTGACCGTTCCGGTGAAATAAATAGAGAAATGAAATCGTATAAACTAAGCTAAGTATTCGATGTAACAATATTTGTAGCGACTGGTATATCCACATATCGTAAATGTTAAATGCGATAAAATAATGCGAACATAAATGTAGAGAAAACCAAATACTATTCTGTCCTAATTTCTTCCCAGTGTGTAAAATTTGTTATGTAAAATTTCACATAATCATGAAGTCAATTGCTCGCGAAGAGAGTACCTGTATTTTAAAATAATAACAATTTCGATTTTCAATATTTGACATAATATCTTTGTACCTCTAATCCCTTTACAGTTACTGTTACTAATCGTACCGACCTAAACGATATACATATAAATAGAAAATCGTTTTATTAAACTCCTTTAGGGAATTATGTAGTACAATATATCTAATTGAATAGAAAGAAAGATATTTATTTGTCCACATATGCGTTCGACTTTTTTCGTGGTTGTCAGCTACATACAGTCTACCCATGTATGTCTCGAGAGAGATCTTTAAAGTGTCGTATGTGTACCTACGTACAATAAAACAATGATAAAAACGTAGCCAGACGACAATGTCTTTTGAAAAAGACAACTTTAATGTTCTAAAATGCTGCCACAGTTCTATGTCGATGCACTTAGCTGGTTCGTTAGACATGGTTTTTTTGGTAATTACTTTAAGTATCGATCCAATCGCGTAGTTTTAAATATTACGCCAATTTCATCCAAGCAAAACAATAAACATTATTAGTTGATACAGATTACAAATTATACAATTGAAATAAAACTAAGTATTATCAATTCTTGCAAAGTATTCTGCAATCTTCAATGCCATTGCCAGATGAAAACGCGTGTTACATTACAAGAATGCAAAAAATATCTGATATTTTATTTTTGTCCTTGTGCAAAATGGGGTCGATGTCGTAAAGAAAATTGACCGTGACTATGACTACTAGGTAATTACGATAAATAAATAAATAAGACATTTTAATGTTATTAGACATCAATCAATACCTATTTAACGATGGCCGTATTAAAGCCGACCACTTTAATCATCAACGCGGTCATTCATTTTGTTGCATTTTAGTCCTATACTTATTTTAATTTTCTTTTATTGCATAGGTACTCTACAATGGAAGGTCTGACGACAAAGATGTTGCGTTGTAAGTGAACCTATTGTTTGAGTGCTCAGTCAAATCCAGTCAAATTTTGCAAGTAACTTTTGTCTAAGTAGGCACTAAGTTACCAAATTCTATAAAACAGTTTTTATTAACTTTATGAATAAAATAGCTATGAAAGTGATTTTCAGGCTGTTACGCTGTATCCGTAATGTACCACATCAAGAGGCAAATTATATATTTATGTAATCACACGTTTTATTTCACTCTTAACAATTAAATGCGACGTAACATTTGCTTATTTAGGTTTACAACTAACTTTATTTGTCAATCATAGACACTTTCTCGTCAATATTTCCAATCAACAAACCTAACTTCCTCGTCAGTTTCTTCATATGTAGGTGGGTATCTACATTTTGTTGAGTTTCCTTATGTTTTTGACCAACATCACATTTCTAAGGTACTTTCTTACCTCTTAGGGCATTTGGGAATGTTGGACGCCAAGACGACGTTTAGTTTCTCGAACACTGCCCATCGAAGACTGATTCGACGATTGACCTCTTTCTCGAAATTGAACCTATCCAACTGGATCACCTGTTCCAAATAAACATTTTCGTCGACAATTTCGAGAGTTGAGCTCCCAACGAAAATCGGGTTCGACGTAACATGGGCATTTAACATGACTATAACAGTAACACCTCCATATCATATTCATCCGAAGCCTTAGCTGTTGGGAAACTGGACAGATATCATCGAGCATTGTGCCTAGATCTTTCAGCGTTTCTGCATTAACCAATATCGTCGGTAAACTGAAGATAAGCGATGTACCCGTCATTAACTTTGATGCCAGATCCTTTCCTTTCATAACGTTTGAAACCGTGTTCTATGCGGGTTCCAAGCAAAGCTAAGGAGATCCACATACAAATTTGTAAGTGCTCATGCAATTCCTTCTCAACGTTGTTTAACAGGTTATACAACAGGACCAAGAGAGCAAGAACAATTTGACATCGGATCAGTGATAGACCGACGTGACAAGTGCAAGAGCTGGTCGCCGCCTCAAATTCAGCGAAAAACATATCTGAAAGATTATTTTCCATATAACATTTTGATCACAGTTGTAATAACAAGATACGTAACTATCGCTTATTAGTTTCCTGGAAGTTAATGTTCACTGCTGTTAACATACTAACAGTTTCACCTGTCTGTTCAGTAATGGTTAGGTACTTTCATACGCTCACATAGCTCTATTGCGACAGTCAACATCATATTACAATGCCCATCAATGCGGTAATCGAACTTGCCCCATATTGCTCAACCACGTCAACAACTGACCAGTTAGCTGTTACGTCCTGTTAATTAATAAATACCTCAGCATAATTATTTGTTATCATCTGCTCTACTAACCTACTGACTTCGGAAAATAGGGATTGCAATGGTAATAATAACGGGCACGCTACCATAGCAGCGGTAAGACCCCTCTTTGAGGAGTGGCTTGAGAGACGCCACGGCGTCCTCACCTTCCGTCTGACGCAGGTGCTTACCGGGCACGGCAGCTTCGGTAGGTTCCTGTTTCGGATTCAGCGGGAGGAAACGCCCGAGTGTCGTCATTGTGAGGACCACCTAGAGGATACGGTGGAGCATACGGTAGCGGTATGCCCTGCCAGGGCTGAGCACCGCCGTATCCTCAGGGAAGTGATCGGCGGCGGCGACCTCTCGCGCCCGGCCTTAGTCGAGGCCATGGTGCGGAGTGAGAGGAACTGGGACGCCGTCTCCTACTTTTGTGAAGCAGTCATGCTCGCAAAGAGAGAGGCGGCCCGCGTGAGGGAGCAATCCTCCTCCTCACGCCCCAGCAGCCGCAACTGGCGACACTACGGGCGTCGGGGATCGAGGGACGATCTCCGGCCACCGTAAGCACGGGCCTGCGGTCGGCGAGTAAGGGCAGCTCGCCGCCCGACCAGAACCAGGCCCGAGCGTACGGCGCGTAGCGTTCCGCGCGCGCCTCAAAGAGCCAATAGACCACCACAGACGGGGCCCTAAAGGGCTGATGTTCAGCCGGGGTTGCGGGGTAAGCGCAATGAGGTACCGCGACCTCGGCACAGAGCAGGAGAAGGAACAGGGGGGTTTTTAGTCAGTAAGAGTCTGACAGTCCCTCCTGCCCGGCCCTGGGCGGGAGAAGTCATTTGATGATTTTCACCTCACAAAAAAAAAATGGTAATAATAAAATAGTTTCTTTTATTTTATTGTTTATGGGATAGTTTGGCAAACTTACAAACGGATTACCTGATGGTAAGCTATCAGCTTCGCTCATGTACACTCGTTATATCAAACGTGTTACTACAAGTGCGTTGCCGATCTAATGTGGAGGATTTGGTGTGATGTGGAGGAATTTAAGGTGAGGGAATTTGGAGATTGAGATGGGGGTAGGGGAGGATTTGGCCTCCGGACACGGAGCGACACCGCGTAAGTTATCATCCCGTTTGGTATATAGAAGTTAAACCAATTTAGATACCAAATAATGAACCAATACGGTCCATCATATTTGTCCAAACCTGACAAAAAATGTATCCGAGCAAATCAATAAACCTTTGATTAGCTGCCACAGATTATACAATTTAAATAAAACAAAGTATTATCAATTCTTGCAAAGTATTCTGTAATCTTCAATACCACGTTTGTTAGACCTGGCTTTGTCTTGTTTTACATTTATTAGTGACAGTCACGGTCCACAGTTGTGGTTTCATAGCATATTTGTTAGCTAAACTTATTCAGATCAATTTAGTAGAATGTAGGGTGGTGTTAACTAACACTTTGATTTTTAAGAGACAACAATTCCTAGTTCAGAATTACACTTCTTATGATTTCATAAAAAATATTTATTTTAGCACTTGAAATCTTAATATTCTTTTAGCTTTTAAATGAGATTATACTGTTGTTTCGAGAATGTTTGTTTGGCCATATGTTGATGAATTCGTAAAATGAAAAAAAATCTATTTGAATTCATTATTAATAAAATTATGACAATCCAACAAATTATGCCAAAAATATGTACAGAATTGGACATTTCCATACCGTTGTCTTCCCTTCAGAGTAATGAAGTGGGTACCTAAGCAGTTGACACTGCGTTTGAGAAGTACCAGAAGTCTGAAGCTTAAGAAATTGTACATACGGATGTTTTTAACTTTATGAAGTACTAGCTTCCGCCAGTAGCTTCGCCTGCGTACTGTGTTGATAAAAAGTAGCCTATAGCAATAGAACAAAAACGAAGTACCTATACATAAAATTTGTTATTAATCGTCTCATTTTATGGAAACATCTCCAATGGGTAAATAAGTAAATACCCTATTACTTACCAAGTCGCCGCTATCTATCCGTCCGTCCATAGATAGAATAGTATGGATTTTAACTAATAGGTTAGTATTACAAATATTTCATAAAACCTATTATATTATTTTATTTTTTAATACGCATTGCGTTGAGCGCGGCAGCCGTTACACAAAAATAATCCTTATAGCATGATTCAGTGTTCATATGCGACGGCTTATTATCCGAACTGCTAAGCTATCAGTAGTTACACGTGCTATTGTGAGTTAACCATAAAAGATAGACATTTGCTGTAAAACAATTTTTATTAGATAATTTTATGTAGAATATTTACATCATACATTATTTCTATGTAACTTTAACCATTAAGTTTACACACGCGACGGAAATTTACATATATTTTACAAAAATATTCACACGAAAATTCCCCTCGGTTTCCCTATCATCAGATACTGACCTCATGACAATGGGATACCCTCTCGGGAGTATAACCTATCAAACAAAAGAAGAATATTGGAAATCGGTTCATAAATGGCGGAGTAATCGGTGAACATACAAAAAAAAAACAATCACCCGAACATAGCCTCCTCCTTTTTTTGAAGTCGGTAAAAAGTTAGTAACTTCTTCCGTTTTCCCAACTTTTCGCTTCACTGCTCTGTTTCTATAATTTGTAGCGTGATAAAAAGTATCCTATAACCTGCCCAGGAGTATAAAGAATAATTGTACCAATTCGTCGAGTAGTTTTTGTTTCTATAAGGAACATACAGACAGACAAAAATTTTACTGATTGCATTTTTGGCTTCAGTATCAATCACTTATCACCCCCCGGAGTTATTTTGTAAATATATTTAATGTACAGAATTGACCCCTGTACAGATTTATAATAAGTATAGATGCTGTCTTTGTTCGTTGTGTATGTCCTGTAACTGAGATTACAGTAGGCCTATCCTTTCCCCATACTCAATCATCCCCATTTTTCTAAATCTTCAAATGACTTTTCCTGCCCAGGGTAAGAAGAGAGAGAGAGAGTGTGTCAGACTCTTACTGACTAAAAACCATTGATAAATTTTAGATATTTTTTAGAAATAAGTAAGCTAATTAAAACAAATTAAAATAAAAAAATAAATATTTGACGTAAAAATACTATGACGTCATAACTCAGTGTTTCATACAAATTTCATAGAAAAGCGTCGTTTTTGACATTTGGATAAAAAGTACCTATTGAATTTGACTAGTTGGAAACTACCGTATTACCGACGTTGGCCACTAAATCCCATAAAAACAAATGGAATTTTATATTGAATTAAATAAAATTATGATAAATAAATATATAAGTGTAAGAGAGTGGGAAAGCCATGCTTCGGCACGAACTGAACGGCTCGACTGGAGTGGTACCTCGACCTCACAGAAAACCGGCATGAAACAACTTCAGCGTTGTCTTTCATCGTGTTAGTGAGATTACCGGAGGCCCAACCCTTTACCTATCTCCCCCAATTCTTCGAAACCCTAATCCCCAAAAAGCTGGCAACGCCCTTGTAACTCCTGTGTTGTTGCGAGTGTGAATGGGCGGCGCTGATTGCATGCCATCAGGTAGCTTGTTTACCGACCTATAACAATAAAAAGATACACTTATATGTAATCACGCGTTTATTTGAAATTTCACAATATACCATCTTCTTCGTAACATTCTGTATTTTAGATGTGCACTGTTGCATTGCATCTCTTGGTGTATTTTACTTGTCAACCACAGATTTATCCTCATCGGCAGCTTCTTCGCAATACATTCTGTTTAGTTTCAATATGTCCCCATGAGATAGTCCTTCTCTTTGACCAATAGTCACATTGTCCTGTAAGTTTTAAAAGCATATGTCTAATATTTCAAATTTTAACTCACTTAAATTTCGGCTTTGAATATATCGATAATAACAAATTAATTAGAGTAAGTATACCAATTTTCAAAACCAAACAACAATAACAAAATCTGTGGTGATGAGATTTACCTACTTATACATGTCTTTTTTTTGTGAGGGAAAATCATCAAATGACTTCTCCTGCCCAGGGTCGGGCGGGAGGGAGTGTCAGACTCTTACTGACTAATAACCCCCGTGTTCCTTCTCCTGCTCTGGGCCGAGGTCGCAGTGCCTCATTGCGCTTACCCCGCAACCCCGGCTACATAGACATGTCTGCAGTTTTACCTTTAGTGGGATGACGGTTTGGCTGCCATTTGCTGTAAACGCTGTATCCGGATAGTGCATTACACTATGGTAATCATACGGTACTCCAAAATCACTCACAGACTCATTGCTATGTTTTACAAAATTAGCTTCGTGACCTGTAGAAAAGTATTCCTATTACGGTATTACATTGATTATGCGGTTTCATAAACTATAAATTATCGGTGTATATTTTTTTTTTCAACACACTTCCTCATTAAGAGGCTCTAATACTATGGCCATTAGGCACATAATGAGACCCTACCAAATGAGTTTTAACTATAATAATAAAACTGTGACTCTTTCATTATTATTATTTACGAGTACTTAAGTAATCAAGTTTTTTTCGTAATATTGTTTCAGTTACGCATAGAGTTGCCGTCAAATGCTATCCGCGATAGCCAAAAAAAGAAACCAAATTTTTTAGTCTATGGCCGATGCGCGCGTCTTAACTGATTAACGAAGTGCTTATAATATTCTCTTTGCTGATTAATGTTTCCCGCCATTAGGAAACATTTTTAACAACTCGTCTCGTTTTCTCTCTTATAGTTATTTCTGTTATTTTTTTTAAGTAGGTATTATTTTATTCAGAATTGTGTTAAAAACGTCGTATGATACACATGTGTCGTCCTCGGCTCCTTAAATAAAACCCTCGCCTGACGGCTTGGACCTTAACGGTAGCCACCAACATTATACACTTGTACCATAATGTACAAAGCTTTCAAACTCACCAGGTATAATATTTTCCCATACAATATCCACATAATCGTCTCTGTCATAAGTACTCTGCATGTGACTGAATCCAAGAGTATGCATTATCTCGTGTATCAGTGTACCATGCCCAAAGCAATTATCGGCTAACTTCACATATTGAGGAATACCATTATCAGGGTTATATCCCACTGTTGAGGCACATCCTCCTTCTGAACCCTAGAAATAATGCTACTGGAATACACAGGTCCACATAAAACCACGAAGACTCTAATTAAAGAAATGAAATTTTTAGTAATTCAAAATCAACAAAATTATTTCAATTACACCAATAAAAAGTTCCTCGCACTTTTGAACCTCAAAGTGTTTGTCTGTCGATCAGTCCCCTAATGAAGCTATTTGCTCGATCCACTGAATGTAGATTCCTTCAGAGAAGAACGAGCAAGAAACTCCACGGTTACTTACTCTTTTTCGATCGGTGTCACATTCTTATTCCAGGTTATGTATTAAAGCGCACCGCACATTCCAACCATATTGTATTTGCTGGTCAAGCGCAATAATGTTAACGTTTGGCGAGGAACCGAATCGCAGTAAGTTCGTCATTGTCATCCAAAATATCATTTTATAGGGAGATGGAACGGCTGCGTTCGGTTAAGACTTTGTGGTGCGTTAATAAACATACAATTTCCTATGTACCATATAAATTATACAGAATTAATATAGAAAAATATTTACTAATATAATGACTGCGTGTTCGTCGTCGTTTTCTCTAGGTCGGAATGTGATACACGAATGATATGCTATATCTGCGAAAGCATCCTCAATTTTTGATACTTGTTCTTCATCTGTAATAAAGTTTTGATGATAATAAGCTATTTTTATCTGAGAAAATAATAATGAGAACTTATAATACATTTTGTTAACAAACAACTAAACTTTTATGGATAAAAAAATAAGGTGATTTTATTAAATAACAAGTTTTTTGCTCACAAAAATTGTCATGGACTTTACTTAGTACGGCGTTAAGTTCAAGCCATTAATCAAAATTAATAAACATCAATAAGATGCACGTTTTATTGTTTTAACATTTTTGGAATCGAAGTCTGTAGCTTTTGTAGCTATTCTGTTGATTTCTAGGAGTCATATGTTGTGGAATGACCAGACTAGTCTATAATTTGTAGTTTATTGTGACTGGCTGGCAAAACAACATGGGGCTAACCATGACAGAGACAGAGCTAGACAACTTGTACCTAAAGCTCTTTGTCTTACCCACACTGAAGTAAGATTAAAACAGTCTTACTTTGAATGTCATGGTTACCCCCATGTCTGGGTTATCATGGTTGCCTCGAGTCTGGGTGTCATCTGTGCAAGAAATTAATATATATAGAGAGTAAGAGGTACGGTGAAACTTCGGTAAAATTCGAGGAGTGATAATAAAAGCAGATGAGCTGAATAGATACTAAGGGTGCTGTTCCATTGAGGCGTATCGGAGCAGATCGGAAAAGAGCTGTGCCGCGATTTACCAATCACATGGCTTGAAATCCTCATTTCTAATGTGGATGTATCTCGAATCTCTTCTCCGCTCTGCTGCACTCCGCCTCAATGGAACTGCACCCTTAAACTGTTGACTGTTAAAAAAGTATGTTTGTATGAAGAAGTAATCAATAAATAAATAAATAAAGCAATTTGCCAACATCTATTCACCCCTTTCCTGTGTCTAAGTAAATCACCTCTGGAATTTTGTTTTACGGTAGACGTTACAAACCAAAGTCTTCCTCGTTAATGTGATAGACGACAGTGCGGTTCGGCCAGCGCTTATTTTCATCAACTAGACCATTACGAGCGTAACCTGCTGGTAATAGGTCTTCTTGTTGAGGCTGCGACAGCAACATGTCTCCCTCGTAATAGTCATAGTCTCCGTATTCATCTGACGTATCTAAATAACAGAAGAATAGTGACGGATGATTTAAATTGTGTAACATCCTATGTGTTAAGGTTTGAGAAGAATGTACCAAAATGTAGGTATTATGATATTTTTAAACAATACTTATACTTAATCTTATTTTTATAAAGTTACCTGCTATGGCCAGATCACGCAAACAATTACTTAATCTATGTAGGTACAAAATGTAAACTCGCAAAAATTTCAGTTAAGAGTTCTTGTCACTTCATTCTTCATTTTTAAATGATATTTAACATACTCAATAGAATTAATAATAAGTATATATTGTGACGGAAAAGTGGTTCAAACTCTTTGACATCATGACGTCAATGGATGGTTGTCAAACGTTGCCTAGAGATTGTAAATTTCGTCGTGAATTGTCAACACGAGTTGGTGTAATCGGTAAGGCGTGTGGATTACACCACAGAGACCCCGAGTTCGAGTCCCGCTGTAAACATGAAGTTTTTTTAGTTTATAGAAGTTTTGTCGAACTTTCTGGAATTATTTGTGTGAAAGAAATGAAAAATTAAAGAGCGAGAAGGAGAATAAATAAAAATGAATAACGAAATTATTGGAAGGTTCTGGAGGCATGACGATCAAAAAGAATAACGAAATTGAATGTTCCAGAACCTGACCGGGGGTATATAAGCGGAACTGCGGCTCACCGCTGGCAGTTGAGTTCTAAGTCTAAAGCGATTCGGAAGAAAAGGAAGAAGTGAGAAAGAAGAAAAGTGAGTGAAATAGTGAAGTGCAGTGAAATAGTGCAGTGCAGTCAGTTAAGTGAGTTAAGTCAGCGTGAACGGCAAAGTTGTGTCAGTCGGCCGGACTCTGCTGGAGAGGAACGCCGATAACTTAACTCCGTGGACGCTGTAACTTAAGTGCAATAGAAAGTCTGAAAACCGGTATTAGTGTTTCATTTCATCCAATCCCGTAACCCAAGCCCGCATAGTCAGGCACGTAACATTTGGTGTCAGAAGTGGGATTGGAGAAAAATGCCGCTAGTGCCGCAGGACGTAAGAGGAGTGAGTACCCGTTCAATGTCAGAAGCGCAGCGTGTGAGGGAAGAGGGTGCTGCAGCTCAAACCAGCGATGCAGAAGCCAAGCCTGTGCAGGTGGATCTTCTGCTACAGCTGCAGCAAATGATGGCAGAGCAAGCGCGCCGCCAAGAAGAGCAAGCGCGCCGCCAAGAAGAGCAAGCGCGCTGTCAGGCAGAACAGCTACGGGAGCAAGCACACTGTCAGGCGGAGCAGCTACGGGAGCTGAAAGAGATGCATAAGGATTTCACGAAGGGACTGCAAAAGGCTGTCGAACGGGTACAGGAAGTGGAGGAAGGGTTAGGCAAGTTGGAACATCGCGTCATGGCCATAGAGGAGAGAGTGGAAGAAGAGATCTCCAAAATCAAGCAGGAAATGACAAGCCCAAGCCCTTTGAAGAGCCGAAGCCGTCTTGCAGCCGTTTTTGACGCCCCAAATGCGGCCTCAAGCGCAACGAAAGGGCTCAAGATTCCCCATTACGACGGAACAACATCCTGGACCGCGTTCAAGCTACAGTTCGAGACACTTATGGAGGCTTATGGTTGGACTCAGAAGGAAGCACAGTCAGCCCTCACCCTGGCCCTCCGTGATCAAGCGCTCTCAGTGCTGGAAGCTATCGGCGCAAGTGGGGATCTCAGCTTTAGTGCCCTCCTCGACGCACTGGAGGCACGTTTTGGAGACAGCCACCTCGAGCACGTGTACAGAGCGCAATTAAAAGAGCGTACTCAGCGTGCTAATGAGAGCCTACAGCAATGGTCCGTGGAAATCGAGAAACTTGTGCGTCGAGCTTTCCGGTCGACTCCGTCAATGATTGAAGGCACGCTTCTCCAAGCATTCATTGACGGTATTCGGGACCCCGAAGTACGAGCTGCTGTCCATCTGGGCCATCACAAGAACATGAAAGAAGCTCTGGCCCATGCATTGGAAGTGGAAGCCGTGCGTGGCAACCCCCGTACCTTAGGTCTGCGGGAAATGACGACAACGGAGCAGGTACCTCCACGCCGTCGGAACTTCATGTGCTATGGATGCGGAGAGCGTGGGCACATACGGAGCGACTGCCCGAAGAAGATGAACCGCCAGGACGCGGCGGTCTCAACTTCTGACCAGCAGGGAAACTTAAATCCAGCCAAGGCTGCGGGGTGGGCGCTGGCTGGAAGTGGAACAACCCCAACAATCTACATCAAGCAAACCAACGATGGAAATACACTGGTGATAGACGGTCAAGTAAATGGGAAAAACAGTCAGCTAACATTAGATACTGGAGCTTCAAGGACGGTGATAAATGTTCGGCTGTTTGGGCAAAACATCAGGAAACACCTTAAACCAATTGTTGGCCTACGAATGAAATCAGCTACCGGCCAGTGCATACCGATAAGTGGAAAACTGGAGTGCGATTCACTAAGGCAAAACATCTTTACAACCGAGAAATCATCGTTGAAACATCTGATGAAAACTTATCGGTATTCTTTAGTTAAAACTGCGCGGTCGTAGCGCCACAACGATGTCGACGGCGCGACATAGAACTAAAATATGGTTCCGAATGTATGAAAAACGGTATTCAGAAACACAAAACATCCTCGCCTTCAACGACAACGGCGCCTTCGCCTTAGATTTTACCTGTCAAAGCGTAAAGCTTGTAAATTGTAGATGTTTCCTTGGTTGTAGACAATTAAAACGTAATTAAAACAAGTTATTTTTTAAATTATAAATGCTTAATATTGTTTTGTTTACCGTATTTTAATTCGTGAAACTTTAATGCCTATTATTAATGTTTTAAATAGCAGTTCGTCTTTCCTGTATGATTTTTTTGTTGGAAGAAGCTAAGCGTCGAGATAATGTAGAAAAGAGAAGTCAGGCACATGTGATACGTAACATGGATCTTCTTACTACTGATACAGAATTTATTAAGGTATTCACGTTGACTGAAGAGTCAATTAAACAATTGGAAGAAGATATTTCACCATTTTTAGCAAAGACGAAACGTAAAGGAGGAATTTGCAAACGAACTAAAGTATAACTAAATTAATTAAATTTATATTATTAATTATTATTACAACTATTATATCACTATACTTATAGTGAAAAATGTCTAAAACTTATCTCATTCTAGATTTTATGCACTCTCGCATTTTTAGCAAATGGGAGTTACCAAAAAATATTATGTGAGAATACAAAAAAGGTTACTAGCTTTTCCAGCTGATCTAACGAAGGACATCTCCTTCGTTAGATCAGCTGGAAAAGCGAGCGTTGCGAGACACGAAAAGTTAAATATTTTGGTTACTTAAATAGTAGTTCCACAAACTGCTATACATGTTCCACAAACTGGTATTTAAATAGAAATGTAACTATATACTTACTTTCGATAGGTTTGGGACCAAACTAAAACACAGAACAAGTAGAACGTCATTGGGTTGGGGTGCACAATTTTTTTAAAGTCCACTTAGCCACTTAAAACCACTTAGAACTTTGGAATTTCGTAATTTGATAAAAAAACTTTCAAGATAAGATCAAGTTGTTTGTTTTGAAATACATAACCTAAAAATAAAAGTGTCAAAGATTTAGTTTTGTTTTATTGCTATAATCAAAATTAATTATTTTCAAAGTCTAAAATGATATAATTAATTAAACATTTGTTGCTTATTAAATATAACGTGTTTTGTAGATACGTCTTGTGCATTTGTATTAATTTAAAATGACGAAATAACTTAAACATAGGTTAGTCGAGATTTTCTCGATTATACTCTAGATTAAACATAGCAACACTGCCAACATCATACTCATCATCGTTGTTCGGCAGATCGTCGACGAGCTTATGTAGCTCAGCGAATACGGTTTTTATCAACGTTGTTTTTAGAAGCGATATTTACGATGAAACATCCGTGACCGCGTCGTTGTTAACATCTATGATGATTCTGTTAGTGAATCGCATTGCTGCATGTAACAATCAAAATTGGGGAACGTGTTTATCGACATGAGGTTATTGTGGCCGAAATTCTGGATGACTGCATCCTGGGACTTGACTTCCTGCAAGGGCACCAGTGTAACATCGACTTAAAATCTGGAGTATTACTATGTGGAACTGAGGAAATTCCGATGAAGGGTGGAACCCTGGGAAAAGTTTGCTGTTTAAGAAGAACTGTTCTTGCACCAAAATCACAGACTCTCGTACCAATTGCATTACCTAGGAGGAGGGAAGGAAGTTTACCTCGAAGGTGCGCTGTGATTGATAAATCGGAACACGTAAACTCATGGCTACCGGCAAGAACTGTCGTGGGGTCATCTGATGTCAACCGCATTCCGGTATTCAACTTCAGTGATTCAAAAATTACGATTGAAGAAGGAGAGCCTGTGGGCGTATTGGAAGAAGTGGCCTGGATAAGAAAATGCTCGGAAAATCTTGTGAAGAAGGACAGTACGGGAATAGACTTTGTAACGAAAATCTTAGACGAAAACAAAAGTCTGACAAAAGTGGAGACTATGAAAGCTAGAAATTTACTTCTTCGATTCTCTGATGTGTTTTCAAGAAGCGATGGTGATATTGGCCGAACTGGTTTGGTGAAGCATAAAATAAACACAGGTGATACAATGCCAATTCGTCAAAGGCCCAGACGTATACCATTCGCTCGTGAGAAAGAGGTTGAACAAATAATTGACGATATGAGGAAAAATGACGTGATAGAGCCCTCTTCTAGCCCTTGGTGTTCACCTGTCGTGCTTGTCAAGAAGAAAGATGGTTCAACGAGGTTTTGCGTAGACTATCGACGATTGAATGATGTAACCAAGAAGGATAGCTACCCGTTACCAAGAATCGATGACACACTTGACACACTGAGTGGCATGAAATGGTTTTCAACGATCGATCTGAAAAGTGGCTATTGGCAGGTGGATTTGGATCCCAAGGACAAGGAAAAGACCGCATTCTCAACTGGGAAGGGACTCTGGCAATTTAAGGTGATGCCATTTGGATTATGCAATGCACCGGCAACCTTTGAGCGTTTGATGGAACAGGTGCTGGCGGGACTGCTGGGCGAAACCTGCCTAGTTTACCTCGATGACATCATCATTGTTGGACGGGATTTTGACGATCATCTAAGAAAATTGGAAAAGGTACTCGACAAGCTGCGTGGAGCAAATTTAAAGTTGAGTCCAAAGAAATGCTCTTTCTTCAAGCGCGAAGTGAATTATCTAGGACATGTTATTTCTGAGAGAGGAATTGAGACTGATCCAGCCAAGACTGTCGCTGTTAAGGAATGGCCAACACCTAAAGACAAAACGCAAGTTCGGGCATTTCTTGGATTGTGCTCGTATTATCGGCGGTTTGTGAAAGGATTCTCGGACATTGCCAAGCCTTTGCATCGATTGACAGAGGAGAAACGTGCCTTTATCTGGGACGAGGATTGTGAGCAAGCCTTTCGAGACCTAAAAGAACGGCTTTGTAACACACCAATTCTCGGATACCCCAGCGCGAAAGGAATATTCGTAGTTGATACGGATGCCAGCAATATTGGAATAGGAGGTGTCCTTTCACAACGCGATGGTGAGCAGGAGAAGGTTATTGCTTACTTCAGCAAGTCACTATCGAAGCCGGAGAGGAATTATTGCGTGACCAGGAGGGAATTGCTGGCCGTAGTCAAAACTCTGCACCATTTCAAGAAGTATTTACTGGGGCGGAAATTTTGATCAGAACTGATCACGCTGCTTTGAAATGGCTGCTTCAGTTTAAGGATCCCGAAGGCCAAGTAGCCAGATGGTTGGAACAACTTCAGGAATTTGACTTTGAAATCGAACATCGCGGCGGAAGAATTCATGGCAACGCAGATGCATTATCGAGACGCCCATGCGTGGAAGATTGCAAGCATTGTGCCAAGAAGGAAACTGCTTTTCTTAAGGTGATAAGGACTGATACTGTTGACGAGGCATGGGGAGATGATGCGATGAAATTAGAACAGGAAAGAGATGCAGATATTAAACCAATACTGGAGTGGCTACGAAGTGGTAACAAGCCAAGTTGGAGTGACGTCGCCCAATATAGCGCGGTAACGAAAGGTTTATGGGCACAGTGGAAAAGCCTTACGCTGCATAACGGACTTCTGTGCAGGAAATGGGAATCAGCAAACGGCAAGGACGAGCATTTGCAATTGGTGGTGCCTCGTTCAAAAATAAGGGATGTATTAAAAGCGTTCCATGATGGATCTTCTGGAGGACATTTGGGAATTAGGAGGACTTTGGTGAAGATCAAGGAGAGGTTTTATTGGTTGCATTGCAAATATGACGTCGAAGATTGGTGCCGGAAATGCACTAGTTGTGCAGCTGTCAAGGGTCCACAAACAAGAAGCAGAGGGGCGATGAAAATCTACAATGTTGGTATGCCTTGGGAGAGAATAGCCTTAGACATCGCTGGACCATTTCCAATCACTGATTCGGGCAATCGCTACGTTTTAGTGGTTATGGATTATTTTACAAAATGGCCGGAGGTCTTTGCCATACCGAATCAAGAGGCAGTAACTGTAGCCACGAAGTTGGTAAACGAGGTATTCACCCGATTCGGAGTGCCCTTGGAGATGCACAGTGATCAAGGACGGAATTTTGAATCCCAAGTTTTTCAGGAAACTTGTAAACTTTTGGGAATCCATAAGACTCGAACGACCCCTTATCATCCACAGTCAGATGGAATGGTCGAACGCTTCAACCAAACATTGGAGCGACACTTAGCAAAGGTGGTTGACAGCCATCAGAGATATTGGGACACTTACATACCTCTCTTCTTGCTTGCCTATCGGACTGCTGTACATGAAAGTACCGCAAAGACGCCTGCATTTGCAAACTTTGGAAGGGAATTGAGATTACCGGCAGATCTTGTATCGGGCTGTCCACCTGGCGACACTCGCACCGAGTTTAGCGATTACATAAACGAGTTAAGGGCAAAAATGTTGGACATTTATGAGCAGATCAGGGAGGCCGGTCTTCAAGCTAGTGATCGCGCAAAGACGCGCTATGATCGACGAACCAATTCTGTTGGGTTTGAAGAGGGGTCATTGGTCTGGCTTCATAATCCAGTCAGAAGGAAGGGAAAATCTCCGAAGCTTCAACCGAGTTGGGAAGGTCCTTATGAGATAGTCACGAAGATCAATGACATTACTTACAGAATTCGGAAGACTTCAAGGAGCCCTTTGAAAGTTGTCCATATAGACAGGTTGGCGAGGTATTACGGCAGCAACGATGCTCGGGACGAGCGAATCTAAGAGGGGGGCAGTGTGACGGAAAAGTGGTTCAAACTCTTTGACATCATGACGTCAATGGATGGTTGTCAAACGTTGCCTAGAGATTGTAAATTTCGTCGTGAATTGTCAACACGAGTTGGTGTAATCGGTAAGGCGTGTGGATTACACCACAGAGACCCCGAGTTCGAGTCCCGCCGTAAACATGAAGTTTTTTAGTTTATAGAAGTTTTGTCGAACTTTCTGGAATTATTTGTGTGAAAGAAATGAAAAATTAAAGAGCGAGAAGGAGAATAAATAAAAATGAATAACGAAATTATTGGAAGGTTCTGGAGGCATGACGATCAAAAAGAATAACGAAATTGAATGTTCAAGAACCTGACCGGGGGTATATAAGCGGAACTGCGGCTCACCGCTGGCAGTTGAGTTCTAAGTCTAAAGCGATTCGGAAGAAAAGGAAGAAGTGAGAAAGAAGAAAAGTGAGTGAAATAGTGAAGTGCAGTGAAATAGTGCAGTGCAGTCAGTTAAGTGAGTTAAGTCAGCGTGAACGGCAAAGTTGTGTCAGTCGGCCGGACTCTGCTGGAGAGGAACGCCGATAACTTAACTCCGTGGACGCTGTAACTTAAGTGCAATAGAAAGTCTGAAAACCGGTATTAGTGTTTCATTTCATCCAATCCCGTAACCCAAGCCCGCATAGTCAGGCACGTAACAATATGTACGTGTAAATACTCTTTTATATACTTTAATGACACCTATGCAAATCTGTTTCAGATATACCATATCAAAGTTGTACTTACTTACGTAAAAAGGATGGTCATCTGCACTAAACTGACTAAACATTATTTTTCAAAAAATATTGCATTTATAAAATACAAGAAAGGTTTGTATAATCTATTCTTACAAATTGAAGTAAGTAGTCATTTTTATTTACCTAAGAAGTAACTATCATGAAACCCATCTACTTAGCTTATTAAAAATATGACTTACGTGAAGGAACTGGGAAAAGGTCTACTGATTTCGAGTATTTACCGGTCTCTACTATACAACAGATATAATGCTTGGTCAGTGGGTCGTCTTAGGGGCTATGTCTATGTCTTTATAGTATTATTAAATATTTACCATACGTTTCGAAGTCCACACTGTCATATACCGGAGCAGGCGTTGCAGCTGTATAAATTACAATGATTATACTTAGAACACCAAGTCCCTTAAAGAACTGTTCCATCTTCAAACTTCTTAATAACATTTCGTTTGTCCACTTATTTGAAGCACTCATGCACTGAAGATTATAACATTTTTCCACACCTATTTCAACGATGGGACATTAAAATCGGTTTCCTAAAATCATTATAGTCAAGTCAACTTGACGCCACGTAAGAGTGGAGTGCACTGTAATACGGTACTGTTACAGAACTCAATGACAATCAATAAATAGATCAATGTTAACCTAAGGTGCAAACACTATAACTTTTTTACTATCAATAAACTGACATGGACAGCTTAATTTATAACTTACTAGCTACTCCCACGCGGTTTCACTCGCTTCTCGGCTCCATTTGATCGTAGCGTGATTTTTTATAGCCTAGAGTACTCAGGAACATTGTAGCTATCTATCAGTGAAAGAATTTTGGCACTCCAATCAGCGGTTACAACGATTACCCCCTACATACAAACTTACAAATGTTACCTCTTTATAATATTAGTATAGACTAGCGACCCACCCCGACTTTACACGGGTGCAATGCTGGTACTAAATTTCTCCACTTTTTAATGGATAGGTACATATAATTCTTCTTCAATCACTCTATCTATTAAAAAACTGCATCAAAATCCGTTGCGTAGTTTTAAAGACTTAAGCATACATAGGGATATAAGGACAGAGAAAGCGACTTTGTTATATACTATGTAGTGACTTGCTTTCGCCCGTAGCTTCGCTTATACCAGATCCGGGGTAGGTAACACACACATCCCTGTGTTAGAAAGAAAATAACTTAGAACAGAAGAATACTTTATAACGATACCATAGACAGCAGGAGTTGCGAGACAAGCGCAATAATGTTAATGTACCGCGGACTCGGCCTGAAGCAGGAGAATACGGTACTTTCCAACTAGTCAAATTCAATACTTTTATCCAAATGTCAAAAACGATACTTTTCTATGAAATTTGTATGAAATACTGAGTTATGACGTCACAGTGTTTTTTGAGTCAAATAGCTTACTTATTTCTTAAAAAATAGCTAAAAAAGTAAAAAGTATCTAAAATTCAGTGTATCGATCGATCGATGAATAAAAGTATAGTTATTTTTCAATATTTAGTTGTATTGAAACGTCGAATTAATTTATTTTTGACCTACGAAACCACCCAATTACGGGGCGGTTTTTAATCAGACAGATGTCAGACTCTAAGTAGGTAAGATAAGAGTCTGAAACTCCCTTTTGCCCTAGCTAGGGCGGCAGAATTCATTTTCGGATTATCTCCCGCACAAAAACAAACGTAGATAAGTAGATGTAGGAGTCTTTTATAAAAAAGTAAATAAATAAACTTTATCTTATCACACATTTTATTTAACTCTTAAAATTAAATATATTCTTATTTGTATTAAAGCATAACTAAAAATCAATCACAGACACTATCTCGTCGATATTCTCAATCAACATTATTTCCTTATCATCGTTGTCTTCACAGTACATTTTGTTTAGTTTCAATATATCGCTTTCAGATAATCCCATCCTTTGGCCAATGGTCACATTTTCCTGTAAGTTAGAGAAGTGTATAGTTATTACTTGTTGCTCTTATCTACAAGCTACTGCCAGCAGCTTCATCCGCAGTACCAATGCAAAAAGCCAATATGGTAGTCCAGACTATAATCTACAAGTTGTTTGCGATTTTTCATTTTTCATTCTGGTTCGTTCAGTAGCTGTGTTATAGAAGAGTAGGTGACGAACGTCCATCAACATAAACTTTCGCGTTTATGATATTAGTTTCATTATGATTGTAAGGTCTAAGATATACTAGTACAGTTTAACTTACGTAGACCGAACAGACATTCTACGAACTTGTATTCTGATGTGATCAAAATAATAAAACAGACATTTAATTTAGGTACCTAATGTATATCGAGTAATTATGAAATTATGCATAACAATAAGTATATAATATTACTGGTAATATGGGAACGAACGTAGTGTGTAAAGTGCTTTTCAATATAAAATAGAGATTTAACGATCTGATATTAAGATGTGTCTAGTAGTCTTACCTTTAGTGGAACGATTGTTTTGTTGCCATTCACGGAAAATGCTTTCTCTGTATAGTGCATTACACTATTGTAATCATAAGGTACTCCAAAGTCAGTGACAGTGTCATTGCTGTACTTTGCGAAATTGTGTTCGTGACCTGTAAGCATTATTTACTGTAATTATACCGTTTATTGAAGTAAATAAATAAACTGCACTTATTTTTTTTTTGTCTTGATTGAGAAAAAAATTAATCTGTCTGTCAGATAGCGTAGAATTATGTTTAAATGAGATTTATATTTTGCTGTAACTCACCAGGTTTAATATTTTCCCAAAGAATAGTAACAAAATCGTCTCTATCATAAGTGCTCTGCATGTGGTAGAAGCCGATAGTATGCAGCATTTCGTGAACTACGGTACCGTGTTTGAAACAACCCTTGGCCAGGTTCAGTACTTGACGAATTTCACCTTCGTCGTCAGGTGTGCTAAATCCCACGTTTGAAAAACATCCACCTTTTGTACCCTAAAACAAAGTGAATTTAGAACAAGCTCTTTGATTCGTATTTTATAGATACTTATTTCCACTAGTTCCTTTAAATTTATTTACATATCAGACCAGACTGAGGTATGAATTATAGGTGCATATAAACATAGATGGTTGTCAGTCAACACTTGTGCTTTTACCACTAAACTTTCTGCCTCAAACAGCATAACTAAGGCATGAACTGTCGTCGGAGTCGTCGTTTAAAAAGAAGCAAAGGTACAAGTGACTCCTCTCGTGTTGCGGGTGTCCATGCACGGCGCTGATAGCTTACCATCAGGTAGTAGTCTACGCGTTTCTCTTATATCTCTATTATAATGAAATGAGTTCTTTGAAACTTAGATAACTCGACGACTTATTATATGGTAGATCGATATTAAAATCACAAACCTAATTTATCAGATAATATCATTATTAATCAACGAAATAAATTATTCGTAGCTGATACACAAAGAAAGATTTACTAGTATAATGACTGCGTGTTCGTCGTCCTTTTCTCTAGGTCGGAATGTGATACACGAATGATTCGCTATGTCAGCTAAGGCATCCTCAATTTTTAGCACGTGTTCTTCATCTGCAACAGAGATAAATTAAATTACAAGTTTTAGAAATTTAAAAAATACAAATGAATAGACTTTCTGTGTTTTTGTAGTAGTAGGACCACAAGGCAAGTGAAATCTTACGACTTGAACTTTGAACCATCACGCCATTGTGGACAAAAAGTTATTTTGAAACTATTAAATAGGTGCCTAAGAACTAGTTCTCACTACAGTTACCATGAACTTGCCCCTAAGACTTTGTGTCGAGTTCAAGGCGATCTCGTGCAGTTGCGATTTAGACAGATAGCAGTCAACTATTTGCAATTCAAATGAGGATTGAGAAGCGTAAAAACAAAATATTAGAAACTACGTCGTGTGGGTGTGTAGTGTGTATCCATGAATTTAAAACTAAACTTAACGACTAATCAACATCGACGTGGTACGGTAATAAATCTCTAACTTTGAACTTTAACATCTAACAGATAAAATAATGCACTTCAAAGAAAGACCTTTTCTCATCCAACCACTGCCAGCCACCCTGCGGATGTCGTCAGTCTGAGCTGAACATCGAGCTCCGTGACGTGCAATTGGGGAGGCCTATGTTCAGCAGTGGACGACAACAGGCTGATGATGATGAAGAAAGACCTGGCTTAAACTTCTCCTTATTGTTTTTCCGGGTCTAGGTGTGATGAGATGTGAAATTGTATCTTTATAAACAAACAGGAAAAATCCTAATGTGGGGCAACGTATTATTGGTTAGCACTTAGCAGGCACCTACATAGGTTCTCTATATGTGAAATGTGTATCTACAACGTGATCAATGTCATTGCAACGTTAACCACTTAATATTCGCGTCAGAAGTTGTGAGTAACGGATTTGATACCTACTCTTTTACTGTCACAGAGTGACATTTTGAGGAATGACCATAAAGCTAGGTAGGAGGGAGTTACAAACCAAAGTCTTCTTCGTTGATGTGATACACGACGGTACGGTTCGGCCAGCGTTTCGCCACATTTCGTAGACCATTGCGACTGTTACCATCTACTGCTTGAAATATGGCTTCTCGTTGGGACTTCGACAGCAACATGTCGCCCTCGAAATACTCTCCGTATTCACCTAAAGTTGTACAAGCATACTTAGCAGAAAGAAGAATAATTCGACGATTATTATCTTTAACGGGTAGGTAGGTAGATAAAGTAGATAGTTCCTATTTATTCTATTAAATACATAAACAAAGATAAAATATTGAAAATGACGACTTACTCGTGTTCATCACCTGAGAAATTAATTTCAAGTCCTAAAGGGACTCTTATTCATAAACATAATACTATATATACCTAATTTCTTTTTTTTTGCTTGACATTCAGTGCCTGCTGTGGTCTATTTGAAATAAATGATATTGACTTTGACTTTGAATAGCGTGCAACTTTGCGTGGCCGTGAATCGGTAAATTCCCATCAATAAGTCGTTATTTTCAACTAGATCTTGCCTGCGACTTTATTCGCGTGGAATAGCGACTTCCTGCAGATTTGTGGTTAAAAAAGTATATCCTATGTCCTTTCTCGAGTTCCAAACTGTCTGTACCAAATTTCACACAGATAGGTTCAGTAGTTTAGGCGTGAAGAAAAGACAGACAGACAGAGTTACTTTCGCATTTATAATATTAGTTTGAATATTTAAATATTTAAAAATAGACCTACTTGAAGTAATGCAATCCGCGCATAAGTATAGGTTCCTAGGTACCATCGTATTTACGATGACGATGACGATGACGATGACTGAGTCTGAGATAGGTACTAAAAACTGACTCAACTGACTTTTGGGTTTACTTTAGGTTTTGACTAAATATTGAAAAGGAAATGTTAAAATACCAAACTAAGATCTGCATTGACTAAAGAAAATATATGTATACCAGAAAAGGGTTTTAAATATTAAATGTTCAGAATTCTTGAGCGGTTGTAATTAGAAAGGTAGATACTAGTAGATTGGTCTACAAATTTTAATTCTCAAATAGTTCACACATCTATTAAATATGAGCAGCACGTAGAAAATTTTAATCGAGTAGATTAAAATTTAACTTGGCATTTTATCAACGGTTTAATAAATGTGTCTAATGATGCGTGACTCTACAGAAATTTACTCCAATACAATGCAAACCAGATTCATATGTTTGCTATTTCCATTCGACAGGGAACGGAAGAGTCATAAACACAAGGAATAACTTAAAAATATAGTCACAAAAATACAAGGTATGTAGTGTCGACTCATATAAGTAGTTTAACGGTTAGATATCTAATTTGTTAGAGAAAAATGTATAGATTATTATTTTATTATTTATTGTTAACAAAAGATTTAATATTTATTATTTACCCTCGTCTTCTAAGTCCACATGTTCGGATATCGGTGCAGCTGAAGAAATAACAACGAGTATACTTAGAACTACAAGTCTTATATAGAACTGTTCCATTTTAAAACTACTTGGTAGCATTTCGTCTGCCCACTTATATGAAGCACTAACGCACTGAACATCGTAACATTTCTCCTCGCCTTTTTAAATGAGTGGTGCTCCTACTTGTACCTTAACAACGGGACATCACAATCGATCACCTAATTAGATAGTCAGGGTTATCTTTTAACTCGTTTACTTACGAAATAGAGTGGTTTTTATTTCGCCACTCACGTTATCTTTAAAGAACCCTGGCGCGCTCTCATCAGGACATGCAGTTCATTGATTACACAGGTACCTACCTCAATTGTGATAAATAAAGATAAAACAAAACCCTGAACCTTTGGGTGTGGAGGAAAGCACTAAAGAATATTATGAATTCTCTCGCAAACAGTAAATTGGTAATCGCATTTTATAAGTATTGTAAACGAATTATACCTAGATACAGCAAAATATAAAAGAAATCAACAGAAAATATAAACAAAATCAGATGCATTTTTGAACACTTCCAGTAAAATAACAAAAAATAAATAGGCAGTCTTTTACACGGCTATAAAATTATATCCTCCGCATGCGTGTAACCAAATTGTGAAATAGACAATTTGAGCACATTTTATCAAGCAGGGTTGACTCTTCATCGGAGTCGGGGTTGTGGGTGCAAGCGAAATTAATGTACCAAACCCGGCTTGGAGCAGAACTAAAACGGGCTGGTTTTTAGCCAGTATAAGTCAGTCTCGCGCCCAACTCGAGCGAAACAAGTAATTTGATGATTTTCCATCATCGAAAAAGTGTCCCATATGAAAATACATAATAACTTAGGAATAGTGAAGTGACCTACCTACCTATTGTTGTTGCAAATGATTAGATAAGGAAATAAAAGACATCGGTTTTTTTTTCTTTGTTGAAAAGGTTGTTGGTAAAACATTAATATTCTATTTATCTAAGACTTCAAGTAAACTATATGTTTCAATTTTTATTAAATCGATAATGTCGATTTATACTAACTATTATAATGGGGACGGGTAGTGTTCTGCTACAAAGAGTAGGCAGGTAAGTAGATATAAGTAAGTATAAATGAACACCACGTTCTCTCGGCTATTTTGCAGATATTTTTTTACATCCCTTATTTAATGGACTATTGAATGCATTTTGAAATACATATACTTATTTAAAACATATGAAAGGTCTTGTCCACCACAACAGTTGCTTACCAACAGGTAATCCGTCAGCTCGTTTGCCGAACTATCACATAAAAAAGTATTCTATGAGAAAAAGACAATTGACGGATTACCTGATGGTAAGCAATCAGCGCCGCCCGTGGACACCCGCAACAACAAAGGAGTAACGAGTGCGTTGCCATTTGCCAACCTGTTGAAGATTAGGAATTAGGAGATTTAGCGATTGGGGGAAGGCAAGGATTGGGCATCCGGTAACCTCACTAACACGGCGAAACACAACGCTGTGGTTGTTTCACGCCAGTTATCTGTGAGGCCATGGTGTCACTCCGGTCGAGCCGACCCATTCGTGCCAAAGCATGACTCTCCCACACATAAATACTTACCAACATTATTTAAATTAAAAAATTTTGGCCGAAAAATATTAATGAATTTTGAGCTAAAACACTAGGGTGCCTTTGTTCCTCTACATAGCCAGAGCCACCAAGGATAGTACCTCATCATCATCATCAGCCTACAAGTGCCCACTGCTATAGTATAAAAAATACAGGGGGTAGGTAGGTACCTACCCCCTGTATTTTTTATACTCTTAACTATTCAATCGCGGTAGGTACCTAATCCAAATCGAAACCCCAAGAACGCCATCCAAGTATTCGCTTGGGGTTTGATGTATTATCACCGGAACCATTGCAACCGCATGGTTAATCACATATTGTTATAATATGTTATAACATATATAACATATTGTAATAAGTCCTAACCATACTTAGGTACTATACCTACCTACTCAGCTCAAAACGGAGCATGTGACTTCCCCTATTCTTACCAATTCTAAGGCCGGTATTTTTGCTATGTTGCTATGATATGCGCATTATGACGTCAGGCTCGTCGTGACGTTATATTCGACCTTTTTAAACAGACTTAATATCTTTTTTGTAATAGGTTGGCAAATGGGCAAGGCGGATCATCTGAGGAAAAGCAATCGGCGGCGCCCGCATGAACCAGAGGAGTTGCAAGTGAGTGGCGGACCTTTTGGGAGTTATAGGATAGGCTTTACATAATATATATAGTATATATTTCTGCGATAATATTAAACTTGCTTTTGACATAAAATTGAGTGAAATATGTTTGCATCGTCAAATAACCACCCACTTATTATTCCAAGTCTGAATGTGATGTCTATGTGAACTCAGGTATACTTTTCGTATAATGGAGTAGTGGTTTTTAATAAGAACCTGACAGTCCCCGTCGTCTTCTCCATGAAAGGGGATTCTATGAGGATTTTTCATCATGGGAAACAAGGCAATATTAAAATAAAAACATTAAATTAACTCCTAACAGAACAAAAAGAACAGGTTTAAGAAACAGTTTAAAAAGAAAAACGACAACTGTTGTAAATAAAGTGCTATATTTATTTTACAAAATAGTTACAAAAAGAACTTGACACACAAAATTTAACTGTACACACTTGCGGTTCAGATTTTTTTAAACCAACTAAATCATAAATGTACAATATAGGATAATAATGTAAAATAAAAAAAAAACTACTTAAAGTAAGAACTGAACTTAAAAAACGGTCCCAAAATACTAATAATAATTCAATTCATAAGATTATGGCAATTCTTTAATTTAACGTAATACTGAACTTGCTAATACAACAAAAATATGTACGCTGTTCACTATATGTGATCTTTATACTTCTTATGAATATGCTACTAATGTATGTAGGCAATAAATATGAACATTGTGACAAATTATCATTGTGTATTGTAAAATTAAGCCAAGGCTACATTGCTTTACGATTAGAAATCTCACACAAAGTGATTGCATCAAAGTCAAATGATTTTCATAGATAAATAACACCTATCATTGTTCTTTAGAGTGGTTTTGTTAATCAACTACAGGTATCAATCAACTTGATGCAACGCCCCTTTTATAAGACCTCCTTTGGTGACATAATGGGACATTTTAAAATATTTCTCTAATTTACACATCAAATACAGTGAATAATTAATTTAGGCAGTCTTTAATATACTTTAGATAATAATTATATCCGTTAATCGATTCGTATTCAATAAATTCATAATACACTAAATAAATAATAATACCAGATAAAGAATGGTAACGTACGTACGTACCCTACTAACTTAACTATCAATCAAAATATTTTACATACAAAATACAATATCAGCACATAATTCTGTAAAGCACTGTAAAACATTCTAAATATTGGTCTAGTTATTATTGCACGGAACGATACCGTTCCTTTTGAATATACGAACTACCTGATCGATGCAAAAACATTTACTCTTAATCTGTATTAAAATTGGTATTGCTTGAATTTCTTTCCTATTGTAACACTGACACTTGTTAATTATAGCACGATTAAACATATTGCGCGTAAAATCGCAAGTTGCAACAAACGAGGCAGCTCGGCAACAATCGTGAACGTAAGTAACAAATACGTGCACACCTCAGCAACACTATCATATTGGGGTTTATTACGCTTACTACTAATATTCTTCTAATACAATTGCCTACACGTACAGGACGTCAATAAGACTGAGTAGTAAGTAAGCGGCACTCTACATGATTAGTATCACAAATTGTGCAGCAATTCTAATAACAATTAATTTTATTGCTATTTCACTGAAGACTCGATTGTCTTAAGGCAAATGAAACGTTGATTATAATTATTACACTATTTAAATTTGTCCTACCATAATTTTAAAAATGCGATTACTTGTGAACATGAGATTATCAAGTGAATTTTAATATTTTTCCAAAGATTAATATTTCTAGCTACTAGTAGTATCATAGCTAGCAGCATTGTTTCTAAATCTTATACGTATTACATTACAATTACGCGAACGCTGAAGAATAATGTAAATAAGTATACATCTCAAAAGTATTTAATTCGTTAGCTTCCTTGCAGGTAGCAACCTATAGGAAAAAGTTTTTGAATATCAAAAATAAAATATGCTTCAAATTCATATGAATAGTTTAGGAGCATACATAAAAATATTGCATTCAATTATACTTCCAACAATAATGAAATGGCATTGTCACATTGCATCTGTCAACGCGTTAATTTACGTTTTCACAAAAATATAAGAGATCGGTCTCATTAGTATATGGACTACTTAACATTAGACGATTGAAATTAAGTATTATTTTAGTATCTCAATATGTTCAAAATCCTAAGAGACTCATATTAGTACCTTCTATCGACGGTAAATTATGACTTAGTTGCAAGACATTGATTTTTGTTTCAAATAGATACGATCGAAGATCTCAATAAATGCTCTGTTTAGAGCAACCCATTGTATTTGTTTATTTTATTAGAGTATTTCTTGCCATTTTGTACCGTTAGAACATTTTTACAAATTTCAATACGCAATTTTCGCATAGGTACTTATAAAGTAGTTACTCTAAGTACAGAAATGGGACATTTCTATGGTTTCAAGTTTGGCACACATTTAAAAATGATATGTTTATGACAAAACGCCTTGTTATTTAGGGGAATCTTTAGTACATGTACTGTATAAAAATATAATTACTATTTTATAACTTCATGAATGTTAAAAATGGGTTTCATTTCTCACTCTTTTTACGGAAGCCCCTTATAAAAACATAGTATGGAGAGTGCACGTAAACTGTCTACTACATTAAATCGAACTGTCCCATTTCTTTTAGATGCTTACGCGTTATTATGTTATTCAAACACTGTGAACAATAAATGACTTTAAATATCAATACAATCGAAATGCTTAATATCGACTAAGTCACTATTATCAAACAGTAGTACTTCTAATATTCCTAAGACTTCAAAAAGTTTCCTCTAATTCGATGTATAGAAAGCTAACTTCCGAAGCTGGCTTACTCAATAATGTATATAATGACATCAATGGCAAATACAACAACGAGATGGTTCAAGGACTTTACAACACCCAAGGCGTCGCTCGTTTCATTTTTAGTACACTATGCAAGTCACATGCTGATATGTAATAGACGACAGTTATTCGATTTAAATACTGATAGAAATAATATTTACTCGATTATTATCATTTGTTGCACATGAAAAGCGTTGAAATCGTAAGCGCGCAAACCTCAACGTCATCGCATCAACCTTTCCACGCATCACATTCGCACTCGATTCAATCACAGTCGAGAAAATCGCACAATTAATAAATACACTAATATTAATTAGGCCTTTTTAGGACAGATAATCACAATTTCTCTAAATTAATATATCTCCTCGACATTCAAGCGATTCTTATCGTTCTGCATCTTCATATTCTTTGGATTTAACATTTACCTGCAAAATAAAACAAAAATTTGTAAAGTGGTAAAAGTTGTAACGCTGTTAGGAGCATTCAGAGACAAATGAGAGCGGTACTGACTGTGGAGGGGGGAGTGCTTGCGGAGCAGTCAGGCGGCAGTCTGCGCGGGCGCAGGGTGCGCGGCGTGCGCAGGCGCAGCGCGGGCGCGGCCGCCACGCGGCTTGATGCTCTCTGACACTTGCCACATGGCCTCCTCGCTCAGCACGTCATCGAACTCGTTGAACATGGCCAGAATCCGTTCGTTCTTCTTAAACTTATACTGCCTGCTACCGAAATTAACATTATTTCTCATGTAATCAAATGAAATATTGGCTCTTTCAAACTGTTTCTTATTCAGATTTTACAATTAAAAGCAAGTATAATAATTATAATGAAAATATAAGAATGTTACGCACTCTTTGTGGAATCTCTTCATGTTCTCCATTATTTGGTACTGCTGCCATCTCTTGGTGAAATTGATGCCACCTTCAGGTAGATGATCGGGATTACCGATGTGTACGAAAGTCAGATCTTGAAGGACTAGACCACTGTGGACATTATAACAATTTAATACTTTAGTCTTCTCAAAGATTATAAGAAAGTGTTACAAAAAGGTGGCCATGTCCCTCAGCAATGAGAAATACGACACATGGAGGAATACATTTGCAAAATAACTTATTCCGAATTTAAAATACCTTAGAATAAAATTGTAGAATTAAATAATATATTGTGATGATCTACTGACCATTACGTAGAAAATTTACAAAAATATTTTAGTGTTGACCACCTCCTGCTTCTCCTTTTTTAAGTAGGTTAAAAATAGAGATAAATAAACTTACATGTATGGTATACAGGGTGGCTGCGTGTCTGCGAGGGCCTGGCGGTAGGTGCGGAAGGAGGAGGACGAGTCGATGATGAGACAGCACTCGTGCAGCGTGTTGACGATGGAGCTCGGCCAGCCCAGGCGCCGCACGGGCGGGGAGTCCAGCGCCGACACCAGCGCCAGGTACGAGTTGAAGTTGTTCATCTTACGGAGCGCCTTCATTACCTTCAGGAACTTGCTCGCATACTTTTCTCGCTCTCGGGCCTCCTCCTGTTATTTATTTATTCCATTAATCTTACTAATATTATAAATGCGAAAGTAACGATTTTTGGATGTTTGTTACTCCATCACGCCAAAACGGCTGGACGGATCTGGATGAAATATGGCACAGGCATAATAATAGGAAATAGACTACTTTTATCAACATAACACGCGGGCGAAGCCGCGGTCGGGAGCTAGTCACTATGTTGAGTAAATCTGGACTTTTAAATTCAAATAACTTGTTCTAAATACAAACCTGTTCTAAAATTCTAGAGCGCGCCCAGTAACTCATTTTGTTGAAATGTTCCGTGAAGCGAGTAAGGTTAGGCGAGCTTTCTTCCGACTGGTCGCGTGGCCATAACAGCACTTCAGCAGTAGTAAGACGAATAAATAGCGCGGCATCTAACAATGTCATCTGTTCGGCCAAGTCTGACGCCTTGAAGTCTAGGAGTGTGTCTCGACGCGTAGATACACTGCCATAGCACGGCGTATCATATTCGTATCTGCTATTCGTCTGTAACATAAAAATAGATATAAATGATACATTTATGCCAAAAATATAGCCAAAATAATACAAATACACTAATTCTGCTTACCTGTTGGAAGTGCAGTTGTTTCTGCTTGTCGACTAGAATTTGTCTAAGAGCTTTCGCTATGATCAACTCTTCAGCATCCACGAGCCAATAAATGAACTCTTTAATCTCTTGCATTAGTGAACAATCCAAATCGGACATCCTGTAATCAAACATTTTTTTTAACTATAACATTCTGTGATATCTTATTTTCCTCCTAATCTTGTATCACAAGTTGAAGCAGAAGTAGAAAAAGCTTGTATTTATTATTAAACCTTATTAAACATCATTCAAATCCAAACACATACAATTGATATTTTTATTAAGTTTCTAATAAATTTTAGCGTTTCTAAAATTTTGCATAAGAATCGGAACTCTATTTCCAATTACTGGCCAGAAAGAAATAAAAGCTCTTAATCATCCAGTGCTCAGTCAAAAATTTGTTATTTCTATCTTTAAATCTGTAAATTGTATTGTCGAGTATATAAAAATTATCGTTAATTTAATCTTTTTATTTATCACTAGCGGCCTGCCCCCGCTTCGCACGGGTCCAACTATCTCGCTATCAAAGGGTTTCTTTTTCCAAATCTTCCCCTCTACTTTTCTAATATTTTCTTTGATAAGAACCTTCTCCTCACAATAAGAAACATAACAAAAAAAGAATTATCAAAATCGGCCCAGGCGTTGTTGAGTTATGCGCTTACAACACATTTTGCGATCCATTTTTATATATAAGATATAGCAGAGTTAGAATTAATTTTACTATGGAAGGTGTAATTTGTTGAAAGATAAACCTAGTAGGGGTGAGATGCAAACATTTTCATTGAGGGATAACTGCACTTAGGAGAAGAAGATTGAGAATTTGAGAAACAGAAGTAGATTGATTTGTGTTTTTTTTTTAATATTTATTGTTTATTTGACGAGATACTTGACTAGTTTCAAGCCATGCTAGAGGCCCATATTCATGAGCAACATTCCGCGACACGCGACTCGGCTTGAGCAGCGCGACAGTCGCCGAGTCGCGTTGTATTATTAGACTATAATGATAATTGTGTTACAGATAAACATAAGAATGCGTTACTAACGTGAGGTCTGCGACGACGCGCGTGAGCAGACAGAGCGTGGAGCGCAGGTCGTGGGGCCGCGCGCGGAAATGGTGAGCGCGGCGCACGAGGCGCGCCAGCAGCCCGCCCGGCGACACCCACGTGCGGTACGTCGCCAGGAACGCCTCCTGGTACGTGAAGTCTGCACACACCGCGCCCACGCGTCAGTATACACTCTACCTACTCGTACCACGCTACTACTTTGCACCTCAAACATCGCCACTATTGCACTACAACACTGTTTGTCGACATATCCCAAATTATACTTCACATACGCCCATGATTAAAGTTTGGGTTTTTCTGAATATTGCAACAATGACCAATGTTTGAAATGCAAACTGCGTGGCGCCTTTGCCAACTTCATTTTGAGTACCCTGTTTGGCACTCAAAATAAGTGGACACATAAAGCTAAAAATAAGCATTGTAACATATTTTGAAGTAAAGAAAACTGATCAAATGTTTATAAATTGTTACAACAATTTTATAAGGGCAAAAAATTTAGATTATCCAAAAAGTATGTTACTACTGAATAGTTTGTCTAAGCAAAAGCGGAAGTTCATCTGCACAGCACTCGCTTAACTACATTTCGAAGCATGTGGTTAGATTTTGAATCTGCGCTACGTTATAGTTCACAGTGCTCACACTCATCAAACAAGACGTGGTATCAAATCGAATTAAATCTGTATTTACTAGTTTATTAATAACATTTCAAGCAGCGCTTTACTTTAATGCAACTCTTTAAACATTTCGATGATACAAGAAGCAACATTCAACAAGCTCGGCAAATATTAGTGAAAATAAAAACCAGCTAGTTCCAGCCCCATATTAAAGAATGGTTCAACCACTTACACTCGTCCGTTTCTGTAAAGTGAAAGCATGACAGTTGAGAGGTTAGAAGCTATGATAAGAACAAAGTTACAGTGACAGACTTTATGTTCTGATTGTTCTATTTGAAAACTAAAATCTGATCTGCCTGATGTTCCTCAATCGTAGTTTATCAATCATTATTTGAATATGTTTCACTAGTAAGTACTCAAAATGCACTCATGCCTATTATCATCATATCAGTGTTTTATGATATAGTTTAGGATATATTAATTGAATGCAACCATTCGTGGAAATGAATATTGTCAATGAAGTTAATGGTCCCTCATCCATGAAAATGAATTAGCTTAAAGGTGGCGACAAACCTTTAGTGGCTTTAGTGGCGAGTACGATGAGAGCGTCAGGGTCTCCTCCGCGAACTTCGGGCCCGTCTTTCGCAGTGCCTTCTGTCTTGGTGAGATCCCGGAGTACTAGCCACGAACTAATGTCTGTCTGTAGGATGATATCGTCTGCGTCCGCCGGCGGGGGCTCACTAGTACTATTGCTTTCAGCTGTGGCCGGTGGAGGTTCCGTGCTACCCTCACTTCTCTGTAACCGATAATTGCAAAAAGTAATTCAAACATTCCAGATTTCTGCTAATTGTACAATTGTAAATGCTTTATAACAGTGCTATAATTACATGCGATGGTACAGGTGAAGGAGTGGGCTGTTGCACCAGCATTTCCAATTCATCCTCAAGTGGGAACTTCCCGGGCGCCGCTGCACTAGTGAACGACTCATCTGAATTCTGAAACAAAACATTTCTTCGTCTTGAAACACGCAAACAAGCAAATTGGGTAGTTTCCTAGGTCAAAAATAAATTAATTCGATGTTTCAATACAATAAAATATTGAAAATAACTATACTTTTATTCATCGATCGATCGATACACCAAGTTTTCGATTTTTTTAGCTAATTATTGTGAAATAAGTAAGCTATTTGACGCAAAAATGTTATGACGTCATAGCTCAGTTTTTCATACAAATTTCATAGAAAAGTATCGTTTTTGACGTTTGGATAAAAGTATTGAATTTGACTAGTTGGAAACTACCGTATTGTGGACAATAGAATAATAAAATATAATAAACTATACTTTGCATAAATTATATATTATTTAAAAATTAAAAAGTAATTAGAGTGCTTACGTTATTTATCATAGTTTCATCTGTGGAGCTATTGTGTGATGATGGCCGCGGAGATGGAGGTGGCAGTAACTCGTTGCTGGAGTTCACAGAGAGCTGAAAATAAAAACATTATTATTTAGAAAATGTAGGTAAAAAAACACTATATGCTTCCTTATTTACCTTACAACATTCAATTATGCAATGATAAACAACATTCATGCTACAAATTCTAACTGTAGTTTGTTCAATTTATCGCTAACTAAAACGTGAATCATCCAATTGATAGGTACAATCGATGTTTCGGTAAGTCGTTTGGAAATCAACAGTTATCAAATCTATCGAATTCACGCGATCTAAGCAAGATTAGTTTTATCAGATAAACAAAATGTCAAGTTAAATTCAATGTTGTTAAATTGTTTTTAAAAGACACGCCCACAAATATCTTTGTTTTCTTTTTGACAGGCTTGCTAGGTATGGTAGGTATATTTTTATTACCTGTTTACTCTTGTTCATCTTAGGCGGAAGAGCTGGTGGTGGCTCTAACGGGATCGGACTAGTACCACTTGATGTTATCATATTTACACTATCTTCTGAACCACTGCTGAAATTAAATAATATAACATAATAAGTTCAAACGCACACTTTGTCACTTGTCAACCTAATTAGGATATGTCCCAATTATATATAAATAAAACAAATTTTCCATTTCTCTATCTATTAAAAAAAATCGCATCGAAATCCATTACGTAGTTTTAAAGGTTTAATCATACAAATGGATATAGAGACAGAGAAGGCGACTTTGTCTCATACTATGTAGTGTACCTACACTACATAATTCATGATAATTGTAGCATCTGTTTTGGTGTCCCTATATTGGTGTTTGTCTCATACAATGTAGTGTAGGTATACTACAAATATAATCTTTTTTTAGTAAAAAAAACAATAAATATATCATAACTTCTATAGAATATATTCAAAATACTAAAACAACGAATCTTCATACCTCATTGGTGGATTTCCAAAATGCACGGTGAATGACTGTGCGATAGAACGCTGTACTTGTTGATGTTGCATGCTCAATGCGCCGTCGCCGAGTTGTTTAGCACTAAAACGAACAAGAAAGTTAACAAATGCGAACATTACACCAGTTCTATAGAGTATAACTATTGAGTAGTGCAATAAAAACTTATAATTATATCACTCTAAAAGACTTTAAAAGTAACAATACAGATTGCAGAAATATTATTGTGCAATGAATAACATTAATGTTTACCTGGCAACGTTGTACGTGTGTATGGAGTGACGGAACATGTCGGGCGGTGCTGCGGGGTTGTTCGGCGGATGACTACAGTTCCCGAACATCTCCATGTACGCCATTACTACAGAGACAACCAAATCACTTACAAACCGGCTTACTGTGTAACCGCAAGGTGTATTTCAATTAAACAGAACTTAACATAGACTAAATTTTAATTCTAAAGTTAAATTATTCTTGAAAATAAATTAGGTATGCATAGGATATTATTTTCTTAAAAGTAAAACAAAGTTTATTTAAAATACACCTCAATACAGTTAGTCAAAACGATGAACAGATAACTATGAGCACAGGCGATAATGTGTTTTTCACAGAAATACCGTGATACCAACATGAAATAGCAATAACACATAGATCTTATGAAGCGCTAATTGCATTCATTATCTTGGATGATAATTAACTACGGCGTGAATCAAATTCTGCTGTTGTTAACCAACGCTGTGGAAGCATATTGATACATAGCCGTCGAATTTTTGCACGTGGAAAGCAAGCGAGACAGACACCAATAATGTTATTTTTTATTTCATTCTGTGGTGAAATAAATATTGTGCCTCAAGACATAAATCGTTTAAAATTGCCGCAAGTTTTTCTAGTGTGAGTGACAGGAAGCATTGTTGGCTGTTAAAGCACATTGGACAAATCTCCAATATGCCAGTTCATGTAGAAGAGCTTCTTATACTTTAAATATTACAAATAACACATAATATGCTTTGATCTTCATAGGTTGATGATCTATTTTGGAGCTAAATAGCGCTTGACATGCATAGATCCACTCACCGCTGTACGCGACGCTTTGGAACACTGCCGCGCCGCACCGGCACAACAGACAAACATGCCGTTATAGCCCCACACATAACATTATCATTCATATACCATAGCACCCAACAAACAGAAAAAGACCAAAGATATTTAGAACAGTAATAGAACCACTGAGTGAATGCTGAAAGCATTTACAGATTCACATGAATCACAGACAAACGTAAACAATACTTGTTTAGGAAATATAAAGACGAATAGTGCCATCGACATTGATCGTGTAACAGAACACATTTAAACTTATTCACAGCAGAGTATTTACATCACTTTATCATTGTTAAGAGTTTAATTTAGGCAGGCATTCATTCCAGAGGACATAGTAGTTACGTTTTATGTAGGAATAATTTCGTTCCGCCACCATTTCTGGGTCATTAGAAAATGTAAAAAATGTGATAAAAAGTATACTGACTGTGTTTTTTCTTGAGCGGCAGTGGCGGCGGTCGCGGCGGCTGGTGGACGGCCAGCGTGTGCGGGCGCGCCTCCCCATGCAGCGAGCACGACCCGCCCGACCTGAGGACACGCCCTCTCTCAGTACTACTGCAGTAGCGCACCGCTTGCGACTCGAGGTCGGCCACTCACCTGATTTCAACATTGGGGAACTGTTGCTGCACCTCGCCGCGAATGTTGCGCCGCGTCTTCACAGGTAGCTCGGGCGGCGTCTCGTTCTCGTCTGACGTGATGCTCGCCAATCTGACACGCAAAACTTTTTGTTAACTACATAAATAAACCAAACTGCGAAGCGCCCTTGCTCATGTAACTGTTGTAACCGGCGTGTTGCAATTTCTAAGTTAATAACAAAATTAATGTTTCGTTACATTCAGTAGGCATGTAGAACTATGAGTGAAATGTGCAAACCAAAATTGTAAGATCTTATCAGTGCTAGTTATTTTAATTATAGATGTGTGTAACACTTGCAAACAAACCAGTTTTAGTATTGCGACAACATTTTAAATTCTCGGTGATTTGTTACTGTTTATTTCATAATTTATGTGAAAACAAACCATTTCACATTTGTCATATAATTAAAGGTACCTTTTGTAAAGTGTTTGTGTGGTAATACAGAGGAACACTCACTTTGAAGAATGGTGCGTGGTTATACTGTTCATATTGGTTACATTCATGCGGCTCTCAAAGCTTTGTACTGTGCACTTCATTTCTGTCACACAGTCTGTACTGTTAAAAATACTGCAAAAACAATAACAGGAAGCATGACATTTGAGATTTTTAATATACTTTGGGATTGGTTTAAGGCAAACAACATTTAAATATAAATGTTATTATTTCAAAAAGTATATTGAACATCTCTTTAACATAGAAACCCGGACTAATGAGGAAGACAAAAAGAAAGTGATAATTGAAAATGTAGAAGTGATTTACGAAACCAATGACACAAACCAAACCAGAGTGCAAACAAGACAGTTAAGTTGAACAAACATCAGGTATATTGACAATCAGGTACCTGTCCGTATGGCTGGTGTAGTGGTGTGATGAAATCGACGTGAAGCTGTGCTCAGCTGATATCTCCGCGACAGACACAAAGCCGGACTCATTGGAGAAACTGAAATTTTAATTAATTTTATAAATATACAACTTGTTGTTTTGTATCAGCAGTGGAAACAAAATGTTTGTTTTTATGGGGAAAATGATCGATAACTATTCTTGGTCTAAATGGAACGAGAGAAAATGTCAAGACTTTTACTGACTAAACCCCTCTCCCCCTTCCTTCTCCTGCTCCAGCCCGGAGTCTCGGTACATTATTGCGCTTGACCCACAACCCCGGCTGAATCAGCCTTATGGGCCCCATCTGTAGTGGTCTGTTGGCTCTTTGAGACAAATGTTAAGGGTTGCACCGTTATAAAATTTAGTTTTATTTGAAAGATTTTTGTACGATAGATTTGAAGGAAGTGGGATAGTTACGATGAAAAAGCTAAATAGATTTCAACTTTTTATTTGTCCCCATTATAAAGGAAAATGGTTCAATTTATGTTATCCATTTACCAACAAATAAATATAAATACAAATTCAGGACGGTTTGTTTCCATATAAATGTGTAGTAAACAAAGTATTAACTTTGTAGCCAGGATATAATGACTTAACATTTGATTTACAAGATTGCAGTCCATATGTATCGAAAAAATATTATCTTATTTTTGTATACAATTTTTTTCTGGTAAAAGAAAGCTCTTTATTTCAAGAAAACTATATTAGACGCCACGACTACTCATCATGTACTCAACAGTAGACAACCAGACAGACAGACAAAGGTGGTCCAGAATTATCTTAAATTGAAATACTCAATAATATCCCCCCCGACTATTGGTCCCGCCTTGTAATCGATCAAACTGTTGCTTACGACTAGTAAGTAGTGTTTAGAAAGCCGGAACAATTAGTTGTAATATAAAATAATATATCCTATTGTCCGACTTACCGATTATGGTTGGAATGAGCGTGCATATGAGTAGAGTTCATGTGTGACTCGTGCGACTCCACTGACGCGCGCAACTCGTTCACATTGTTGCAACTGCAAATGCCTGTAACGTAAAGATAAGATTCGTTATTAAAATATTACTCAAAGCAAAAAAGTAGCCACTAAGACCCTGTTTCACGTAATTTTGATTAACTATGCCATGAAATGGGTAGTGAAACTATTCCTATAATATGGCTATTCCTACAATATGATATAATATGGTATTAAGTTCCCCATAAACTGAAAAATCCAATTATTACTCCCCAACACGTTGCGTGAATGGGAAACCGAGATCATTAGCTCAGCTTGAGCCCACTCAATCAACAACACGAATGAACATTAGCAACAAACCAGATACAGGACATTCATCAATTCAATTCTTACTATCACTAAATTAATATTAAATTGGTTTAACAATTTTTACTGACATATTTTCTTAACTTACCAACTAAGTCAGAATTAGGCGGTGTGGCAAATACATGGTCATGATTGTTAGTATCGTGCACGTTTCTCTCCTCATCATTTGATACGTTCAGCATCGAGTCCAGCGAACCACTACTATGAGATTGTAGGGACAGTCTGAAAATGTACAAAATAAGGACTATGTAATTTCTTTAATATTGGCAAGTATATTAATAAATTGTTCCAATGTTAGATGAACATAGCGAATACTATTGAACTTAAATAACCAAATAAAAAACATATAAATAACCACCAGCTTTTTACTAGAAATGAAAGTAGTTAGAAGCTTTATTAATAGTTTATCTGAACTTTAGACTAACCTATCAATAGAGAGAGCCAGTAGGGAGTTGTCGTTCGCTGACTTACGCTTAGGCGGCAGGGGTGGGGCCAACTCGACTTTCCTGCAACACACATTGCACTCTCACTGCATTTACGGTATTATAACCCTTCGTTAAGACTACATACTAACATCTTCCTAATATGTTATCCATAGTAACAACATCAACACAATCAAAGTTTGTGTCTCAAAACAAACTAAACTAACCAACATATGGACACAGTAATTAAAATGACTATCCCACATTCCATGTTTCATTAAACATTCGAGGCTAACGAGGCCACAATGCTTTAGAAGTGTTATATTATCGCCATTAAAATTTACGCCAACCATCAATACTGTATATTTTACTGTGAGTGACTTTCACATGTCGACGATACGAGTGAGTGGTGGTCTTGGAACGCCTATGTTTGGGTGTATGGTTTGAAGTAATACTGACCGGTTGGGCCTGGCAGGCTTGGGCGGCGGCGAGTCGGGAGCGTCTAGTACAGACTCGGACGAATGCGACGCGCGCACGCCGCCTGCCTCCGTTCCCCCCTCACCTGTCAGCAAGGAACGCTCCTTCGGAGTTAGCGGAATATCTGGAAAATATTACCGTACTTTGTTCACACCTGACCTGACATTTTCAAGCAACACCGATTTAATTGAAATTCTTAAGATAAAAAAGATTATATTTATACAAGAAAAAACATCTGAGTGATGTACTAACGAGATAGTATCGGTTATGCACTACGGTAGTGCAGTGTGTTTGTGAACAGATAATTGATAGCTAAGAATTTTGCAGTTGTACGTATAATTGGCGGAACTGATTAGTTCCACCGCAGTGAGTTTGTAACAGAGGCTCTATAACAGAAATAAATAACGCACCTGGCAAAGAATTCCTTTGCGTCGAAGACCGCGGTGATACGAGTGCGGGACGTGGGGAAAGCGCGGGCCGCGTCATATGTTGCTGGGCTAGGGTTGACACGTCCTCCACGGCGCCCGTTACTCCCTTCACTACAGAACTCACGTATTCTGAGGACAAAGCTTCTGCCGAAGTGTCTAGTTCCTCGTTGCTAGCGTCTGCACGCAAACTTAAGGCGGTGATCTCGTCACACAGTCGTATGAGCGTGGCTAATGCCGCACAGAGACGTTTAACGGCGCTTGTTAGTTGCGGCGAACGACTGCAGTAAGGTTTTATTGCTGAAATGTAACGTGCACAATGTTAGACACGTGGCTGAGCTTTTTTACAGTCACTTAAAATATATGTTTTAGCTAAAGAAGATATGTAACGCATTTTGGTAAAGTGTAACAAATAAAGTACACACATATTATAAATCAAATGAATAAATTTACCTTTGTGTATATTTGCAATAGATTCAAAAACAATGGTGCCATTGTCGGGGAGCATTTCCAGTTTCCCTTTTGTGATAACATCCGAAAAGTGTTTTAAGCCGAACGTAACCTGCGGACAATGGACGTGTTAGAATAAATGTAACAAGAGATCAGACAGTGAAATATTGTCTCTGTTGCTACTAAATAACAAATACTTACTTCTTTGACTAGCCGTTCGAGTTCTTTGGCAGGTGTGATTTCCCCTTCCTCGGCGGTGTTGAGTTTGTTTGTCATATTCCGGATTTTTGGACTAAGTGGCGAATGTGATCTGTTGAAGCAAAGAAATTAAAACTATTTTTTAAAATAATAAACAAACTTTTTTAACAAAATAAAAAAAAATCTAAGCAAAATAGATCACTTGTTTACTCAATGAAGGTAAGTTGTATCTATGATAATATATAAACACTCATTTAAAATGTCATTACTTGGTATGCGTTGCGAAAGAATCTGCTTTGCATGCAAGCCCACGCCTTTGCGCGAATACAAAGCTAAGCTATATTTGATATTCAAGTAGGAGGTCCCGGTTCACCTTAGTCTGTGAGTTCAAATAAAAATAATAACAGATTTCCAATTGATTGATTGTATTAAGGTCACGAGTACAAAAAATTATAATTTCAAAGTTGATATTTGTTTCCGAATATTAAATTATATATTTCCCTATTATAGCTCTAGTGAGACATAATACATTTATTTACATTTGGCGGCTCATGAAAACGAAAACTGATGTGAGTCGAAAAAGACGAATTTTCGGAATGAAATTCGAAAAAAAAGAAACAAAAAAGTGATTTAGTAAATTTAGTTTCTTCCCCTAATATAGGAATTTAGGGAGATCCTACTACACATACACAATACGGAGTCTACTTTAAAAATATCGGCATAGGTGCGTCTTTTTCATATTTATAATTAGGTTATTTTTGTTTTTTATTGCTAAATGCTAAAGATAACAAGCATCAAAATACTCCTAATTGCATAACAATGTCGCAATCACAATCACTAGTTTCTATTATACGCTACTTGGACTCAACTGTGCGTGGTTCTAGTTGTCGACGAAATGGATTTTCGTGACAAGATCGTGTAATCGATTTTATTGAGCCAACTTTGAAAGAAAATGTTGTTTTTTATTATTTTGTCATACAGTTAACGTCGATATTGTGTTACAAATTAATATAAATAGAAATCCTTTACTCGCTTGAGTTTATTTTTCATGAAACGGTTGTCACAAATAAATGGTTCACAGTTACAGAAATATTTACGTATCTACTCTAAATAACTTTGAAAGAAATGTCAAAACTGGACAATCTACCAAGCTATTTAGATTTAGAAGTAATGATAATTAATGAACTCCTTATCTTTCTGTCAAATAGTTTGGGTATATGAAGTAATAAAATAGGTAGAAGACATATAAATATATGTCTGCACCTCTAGCTGCATATGTATGACATGTACTCGTATCAACTCCCGCTCGACCGGTTTTATATTTAAAGACTTAAAACCACATTTTGAATATTTCTTGATTTATGCAAATTCAGAATTAATTTGTTTATAAAAACAATCACGAAACATTGACATCGTTTTGAATTTTGAGAAGGTCATGTTCTTAAACAATCATCATTTGTACTTCTAGTTTTGGTGCGTTCTTATCTTGACAGTATTTGCTTTGTGTATATATCAACTGATAAGGTCTCCTTTTGCAAAGTACTACTTTACCTACTAAATGAATATAATTCAATTAAACATATTTAATTAACACACTACTCAACATAATTGTGATGTTTTGTAATAACATACCGTTTGCCATTGTTAGTAAATCTTTGGTGAAGTTTATTTGTTCGTTTGTTGAACCATTCGCCGACAGGCGTCCGTAGTGCGTTAGACATCATTATATTCAACTACTGTTAACAAGGCCACAAAAAAAACACAAACGCTGCACTTCCGAGATGAAATAACTTTCAAAAAATGGCACTGTGATTAAAGAATGTGTTCACTGGCCGATAAACAAATAAAAAGTGTTTCGGTCACACTGACAGTCCACTGGGACATTAAAATGTAATCACTTAACATTGCACGCACTAAACTAATGAGATTTCAGCGGACAATGTACTAATGAGTCTGACAGTCGCGGGTCGCGCTCATGACTCATAAATTAATGCCACATTTAGTGCAATGTCCATCACAATAATAACGAGTCCAATAATCGGTAACGCCTCAAAGAACTACACTTCAACAAATTACGACACTAAAGAACTATTTACGTGACTATTTTAATTAAAATAATCGTAAAACTAACACAATAACATTGTTCTTGCACTAGTGGCAAAGATAATACTGTTAGCATGAGGGACAATTTCTTGTGTCAGACGAAAGATACGAGAGTTATGTATGTAAATTTATCAATATAGATAACAAGTAATATACAGTTTAAAGATTTCATCGCAATGTAAACAAGTTACTAGATAAGGTGATGTATACTATAAGATGTAATCAACGAAACATCTGCAGTGAGTTATGATAACGTATGTTCTATTCCTTGCCTATGAGGACACTTGCTATATAAATATTAACATTATACTGTAGACATAACAGCTGATCTACTACCCACTTGACTAATACGATACCAGGACCATGCCTATTGTATGTGCTCGTTAAACAGAACACTCGGCAATCAAGTTTTAACTGTTTGTGTGTGAAATATAAAGCTCCGCGGAAATATGGCGCGTTATCGTAGAAACGGATGGACAAGTATGTTGACCTGATATTGGAAGAGAGATGCGGTCGGTGATGCTGTTGCCCCGGTGAGCGCATGTTTGAGATGCGTTCCAGCAGGTCGTCCTTGAATGAACGTGCGCGCCTGGCCAACTTGTTGGCGCCGCGCAACGACCCGCGGTGGCCCGAGCTCCCCTCGCTGCCTGATTCGTTCTCTGTAATTTTATTGAATCAATTACTACAAATTACAACAGTAATGAATTTTGTGGAACACAGTTGTTAACAAACAAGCATGACATTAATTTATACAATGATTTAATTATCTACTGCAAGTTCGTGTCGGAAACTGTTCCTGACAAGATTTGGCCTCCAATTTTTAAAAACTATGTTCATATTTATTCAATTATTTCTATTCTGTAGCAGTCGGTGTAACATTACCACTCGTATAATCAAATAATGAACCATAAACGTAAATCATTTAGCTATAATTAATTATAATTTTAATAAATGGATGTACTGAGCACCATATACGTTCTAGATACCTAGTTATGTACTGACGCGATGAACACGTAACAACATATTTTAGCACAGACAGATATTAATATGCTTACCAATTTAGGAAACTGAACAAAGTGCAAACTGTACTAATCATAGCTTAATATTCAAGATGTAGAACATGCAAACGAACGAACCTATTACGTTTACAAAGAGCTTCTAGTATGGCTGGATAAACAAAAACTAATGTAAACACATTCCAATACAATTTTTAAGATGACCTTATAAAACATGATACATACAGTTACGTCATGACACGACATTGAAATAAAACACCTTGTACATAGACCTTATTAAAAGAACATAAAAAAGTAATATCATTTGATTTTCAATCAACCTGTTTGCTTGAAGGCAGTATTATTATTTGTTACTGTAAGTATACATTAAGTTTAACTATGGGTAATGTTAGTTTCAAATTAAACTTTAGAAACTGCAATAAGATTTTAAATTTCCCTATGATATTTGAGTTGTTTGTTTTTTAACTACATATTGAGATTGATCTATAGTTGATTGATTTTTCTCGCTAACAATGAAAGGGTCCGTTTTCCCCACTTTTCCCCTCTAGTTTTTTAAATATTTTCTTTCATAAAAACCTTCTGACAATAATAAATACAAAACAAAAAGATTTGGCAAAATTGTTTCAGCCGTTTGTGAGTTCAGCGCTTACCAACACATTTTGCGATTCATTTTTTATTATAGATGTAAAATTTTCATACAAGTATTGGAACAAACAATGCACAGGAAAAAAATATAGCAAAATTTAAGTCAATAGTTATCAATATTTATAGGTAAGTACTTAATAATTTATTCTGAAGGAAGCAACACAGACTACCTTGGTCCCAATTAAACGTCAATATTATGCGTCTCAGACATTTTATCCTCTAAAGGTTCTAAAACCAGGAAGACAAACAAGAAAATCAGGTCAGATTTAGAGGAAAATGTTGCATTTTTCCTACAAAGTGCCATTATTTGAACAATATATAATGTAAAGAATTAAATGTATTAGTGCATAACATAGATTTAATTAAATTGTACGATGTTAATCATTTGAAGAAGAACAAATGAAAACTTAATAACAATAACCTGCATGATACAATGAATAATCGTAAAAAATACCTCTTCACAATGCACCTGCAGCTTTATCGCGTAGAGTTCCTTTTCCACAACATCAAATATATGTTCCTCGTGTGGTAATAGAACCAGGGTTCACAACAAATAGGAGAATATAAACATCAGTTTATCAATTATAATACCGATGACGCGTGAGTTTATAAATAAACGCGAAGGCGACAGGAGGACGCGCCCAAAGTCGCAGTGACGACTGGCGTCGACTGAACCAGTGAACCTCCGCACTTGCGAGTCGCACCGCCCGCGACAGACGGACGCCGCGGCAGATACTCACTTCCCAAGCCGAGTGCGTCATACATAACACATCAACAGCGCACACACTCAGTATTAAGTCCTACTTAGCATGCGACATCGGTACAACACTGTCCTGTCAACGCAGTCCCTTATGCGTACAAGATCATTGACATACCAACTTACGACTTTATCTATCACTGACGCGATTAAAAAGCGACTATGCCTTGGTTTTATAAGATGACACGAAACTACTATTACTATTAGAATATAAATTACCTCAGAACTCAGACAGTTATTTCATATTCATCAATGGATTCAGTATTTTGATCCGCAACTCGATTTTTTTCCACGCTCAATAAGGTGGGACGGACCTTGAAATTACTAAACGATGTCAGTATCAAATTTACTTTATGTCTAATTCGTGGTAGTTTCTATTAAAAACGAAAAGGTGCACTTTCAATAATAAATAAGGATATTCGAAAATATTGAGAAGGATTAAATTTAAAAATATATGAATTTAAACATATTTTTAGAATGAATCAATAAAAGCGGTACTTACATGATTTGTTTAAAGAAAGAAAATATTTTATTAAATTGTTTTCATAGGATAGGAGGAATGCTTGTACGTATAATTATGTTAATAAAATATCTAGAAAACGAAAGTCAATCTAATGATTATGTTAATAAGTGAGATTCTTGCTCCAGCACTCATCTGGAAACCCACTGACCTTATGAGTTTTCGAAATCGAAAGTTGTTTTCATAAATTAATCTGTAGCAATGTTAAAAAGGATATAAGACTTTTAGATCAATATCGGAAAGTTACTATTCTTGGTTTTTCTAATATAAACTGAATTAGTTATGTGTTGGCATAACGATAGTAACAAACGTCTACAAATTCCAAAAGTAACATAAACAGAAGTTAAATAAGCGAACAACAATTAAAGACACATTGTATAAGTGGCGAGTAACGTAGTAGCATTGTTTAGTCATTAGTCGACTTTTTTGTCAACGGCCTTAACATTATGATAACAATAGACACAATGGTGCGGTTCCCGCGTCTCTTACGTCTCGTTACACAATATCAAGCATTTCATTAGATGCACTACCTGTTTATAAAGCGCAGAGATACGAACAAGGAAGAAAAATCGAAAGCTTAGCAGCCACTCTTCCGTTTCATGGAAATAGAACACGACTAAACACACGAGATAAATACTTTTACAAGATTCCATTTTAACGTACTACATTAACAAAAGTAAACGAGTAAAATTCGAAGCGAAAACACGTTTAGGTAAGTATCTACACACGACTGTACGCGGTACGTCCGTAGAAACTTCAATTAGTCGAACCACTCAAGTTAAATCAAGTTGTCAAAATTAGCTTTCATACAATTATAATAAAATAACAATAGGTAAGTACTTCATGAATAACAGGAGCGTTCAAGCGTTTCAGGAGCTGATATCGGTAGAATGAAAAAACAAATATTTTCTGCAGTTAACTGTGCAGTAAGAAAAAGCTATTTGCCTGGATAAGTAAAAATTATAGCCACAGATAATTTTAAACTGATCAAAACGCAAAGTATGGAATTAAACAAAAATCGATTCTAGTCAAGAATTAGAATGACACAGGGACTTCTATTATAGTCAAATGCAATGAGGGAATGTCCAGTGTGTTAAAACCCCCCGTTCTTTCTCCTGCTTCAAGCAGAGGCCGCAGTACCTTATTGCGCTTGTCCTACATCCCCGTCTGGCTGAACATCGGCCCTGTTGTGCTCCATAAAAACATTTATTTTTTTAGCAGGCACACAATTATAATATGTAATACTTATAAGTAAAACACATTGTACTGCACTATGTAATTGCGTTAAATAAATGAAATCGCAACTGCTTGCCAATGATAGAACAGTTGAGTTGGTAATTAGTATGTGCTCATAACATAAGTTAACATAACGTTATACATAAAATATGTTACAAGTTATGTTGAAATACAGGAAAAATCGTAACAAAAGACATGCTCACAAATAACAATGCAATATGTAGGTAAAATATCGTACAAAAAACTGATTTTGCAAGTATTTATTACATTATTTCCTGAATTCGTTATTTATTATTGATATTTTCGTACCGTTTTTTCCAGAAACACCTTCGTTGTTTATTTGACGGTATACTCCTGGGCCTGGTGCAGGTGTACACTGAGAATTACGACCATGGTCTGGTCGACTTTGAGCATCGACTACAGAGTACGACTTCCTGGTATCATCTCTGCGCGACACTAATGTATCCAAGTCCTCTGAAGGCGAAGCGTAATGTTTTAGCTGACCGTCATCAACCAAGTTTTGAAGGCTGCTACCGTTTCTTATTTTGTTTTTAAAAAGGTAACTTTTCTTCGATGGTTTTAACGTAAGGTTGTCAAAACTTTTACAGGGTGTTAGGGTATACACATTATTGTTTCTTAGATCGTAATATTTGTTGGGGTCGAATGTAGTCATTCGTGGACTGTGATCGACTATAATATCAGGGGCTTTATATTTCTTTGGACTGGTACATAGTAATCCATTTTGTGGCACTTGTTTATACCGATTACCGCGACATTTAATGTTTCTAATATTGTTTTTAATAACAGAGGATCCCCTTTCCTCCAAAGCGTGAAGCATGTCACTTGTCTCTAGCAGTCTTAAGGGAGCCAACCCATTTTTATAAACTTGATAACTTCTTTTATTCCTTCTCTGGTTTTGATTATCGTCATGTATAAAGCTTTCATCGTAATGTGGCATTTTTCTGTTTTATTTATCTTTACGTCGGTGTATATTTTGTTCTCAAATTTCAAATTTATTGAAAAAAATGCTGTTGACACTTCACTAGTATGGGTCACACATTGCGGACATTTCCATAGTAACCGGTGATCGGTGCGAGGCGGATGCTAGTGCATGCCGTAGTGAAAAGGAGGGCCCTCTAGAAATCCAAGAAAGTGGGTAATGAACCTCAGTCAGGTTTCACTACTTTATGAAAATATATTGCCATTTATTAACATGACCTTGTGTTATCACAATGTCAACAAATCTGTATATAGGAGGTACGGTCAGACACAGAAATAGCAAATACGTTGGAAGATACAATTAGATCATTATTTATTTACAGTATAAGCCCGTCGTCTGTGTAGATCGGAATGGCCGTCACATTCTGTGTATCACGCGGGTTTGTTATAGGTACACTGACTGATGTCCAGCGTCTACTGTCAACCTTGACACCACAAATTCGAGCGTAATAAACCAAGCCACACATTGGCACACTAATTTATTCT